TCAATGATGTGGTGAGGGGGCTAGTAATGGTTTCGCACTATCGCTACGGCGTGCGAAACTTCCTGGGTTTCCGTTACGGATACTGGGGGTTCGACAACCGCTACGCCAACCAGATTCTTCCGCTGACCCCAGAGCGAGTGACCGACATCCACGAGCAGGGAGGTACCATGCTCGGCTCCTCGCGAGGGACTCCGGGCACCGAGGTGATTGTCGATCGGTTGGTCGAACGGGGAGTGAATATTCTCTACGTGATCGGCGGCGATGGCACGATGCGGGGAGCCTCGGCACTGGTCGAAGAAATTGACCGGCGGGGACTTTCGATCAGCGTGATTGGTATTCCGAAGACGATTGATAATGACATTCCGTTTATCGACCAGAGCTTCGGATTCAACACCGCATTCAGTCAGGCCGTGGATGCCATCCAGTGCGCCCACATGGAAGCCCACGGGGCCCCTAATTGCATTGGCATGGTGAAGGTGATGGGCCGCCGTTCAGGGTTCATCGCCGCCCATGCTACATTGGCCGCCAGCCACGTGAACTTCACCCTGATCCCTGAGGTTCCGTTTGTAATGGATGGCCCCAACGGATTGCTCGAATGCCTGAGGGACCGTCTCGAGCGACGACATCATAGTGTGATTGTCGTTGCGGAAGGGGCCGGGCAGGACTTACTGAAGAAAGTGAACGCCGAACGCGATGCTTCGGGCAACGAGAAACTGGAGGATATTGGCCCCTACCTGGTGGACCGAATCAAGTCGTACTTCAAAGAAAACAACCTCGAGCTGAACTTAAAGTACATCGACCCCAGTTACATGCTCCGCAGCGTTCCGGCCACTCCCGCCGATAGCGTCTACTGTTGGCGACTCGCCCAAAATGCCGTGCATGCCGCCATGGCCGGTAAGACCGAGATGGTCATTGGCGAGTACCATGGCCGCATCGTTCACGTGCCCATGCACCAGACGATCACGGAGCGGAAAAAGATTAACCCCGAGGGCGAGCTGTGGTTGAGCGTGATGGAATCGACCGGCCAGCCGAGCTTTTGCTGAGGGCTGTCTTCAGGGTCGTTGATCACTCGAAGATCGCTTCCCCGCGACGGAACTGATTCAAGCGCTGCTGAATCTCTTGGGCCATTGCTTGATCGCCGGCTTGCTGGGCCGCTTGAAGCGCTTGTGTGGCGGTTGCTGTCGCTTCGTCGAACCTGCCGGCTGCGGCGTACGCGGCGGCCAGGGTGTCTAGCAGTGCTGCGGGCGGGGAGGCAAGCTGTTTGCAGACGGGTTCGATCAACTTCAGGGCTTCTTCCGGATTGCGAATTGCCGGATCACGCTGCGTGGCCAGCAGCCATGCGAGCGTATTGATCGCGTCGATTTGCTGAGGGTTGATCTCTAGCGCCCTGCGAAGAAGTTGAATCGACTCGGGAACCCGTCCTTGTTCGCTGGCAATTGCTCCCAGTTGGCTTACCGCATTTACGTTTGCAGGATCGAGTGCGATTGCCTTTCGCAGAGCGTCTTCGGCAGCGGGAAGTTCTCCAAGGCGGATGTGCATGTCGGCTAGTCGTCGATAGGCCACCGCCAGGTCGTTGTTCGCAATGGCGGACGCCTCTCCGGTCTCGATCGCCACCTTGAATCGCTCCGCCGCTTGCGACCACCGCTCTAGTTGCTCGAGGACCATGCCCAGATTCACCTGCATGTTGAAATCATCAGGGTTTAGTTCCACAGCCTTTTCGGCGTAGGCCAATGCTTGTTTGTTGTTCTTGCGGCGAGCCTCCACGGCGGCCAATCCAGCATAGCCGCGCGCGAATGAAGGGTCTTGCTTTACCGTGCGCTGGAAGTAAGCAAATGCTTTTTCGAGTTGACCTTGCTGAAAAAGAATTACCGCCAAGTCGTGGGCGGGAGTGATATCGACCGGGTTCAATCGAACCGCTTCTTCGAAGTACGGCACAGCCTCCTCGGGTTGTCCTGCCTTCTCAAGCGACACGCCCATCAGATAGTTGGCCACCGAATTGTTCTCGGTGACGGCCAACCCCTGCGCGGCGAGCGTTTGATTGTTCTCCCATGTGCCGGCCTGCCGCCAAGTGAGAGCGGCGGAGATCAGGACGCTCAATGCCGCCAAGCCAGCGAATGCTTGACGTCGTGCGGCGGAGTTCGCGAACGATGCCATCGAGTAGCCCACCATAAATAGTAGTCCGATCTGTGGGATGTACATATAGCGGTCGGCCCTCATCTGGCCGCCCACCTGCACGATGCCAATCACGGGCAGCAAGCTGATGAGAAACCACAGCCAGCCAACGATCAGATACGGTCTTTCTCGACGCTGCCACACTGTCAACGCGGTGATTCCTGACAACAGGAGTACCGCCCCCAGTACCTGAAGGGCAAGCATGGGTCGTTGGTGAATATCGATCGGGTAAAAGAAAGCCAAATCGACCGGCCAAAATGTTTGACGGATGTAGATTGCATACGAAAGTAGGGCATTCGCTATGCGGTACCCCAGAGAAAGTTCATCCCAGGTTCGCACTGATCCGCCCTGTCGCTGCACCAGAAACGTGACCGCGCTCGACACGATCACCAAGGCAACCAGCGGAATCTTTTCCAGCACAACTCTTGCCCGCAGCCATCCATTTTGGCGAATCTCCTCCGTCGCGCCAGCAATTCGCCTCAAGGGCCAGAAGTCGAGCAGAAGGAGCAACAGCGGCCAAGTGACCAGCATCGGCTTGCTCATTAGTCCTAGCGCGAGCAGGCCAGCAACGGGCAAATAGGCCGCCCAAGAGAAAGGTAGCCGTGCGTAGCGGACATAGGCCAGAATCGTGAGCAGGCCGAAGAACGTGCTCAGCACATCTTTGCGTTCGGCAATCCAAGCAACCGATTCGACATGCAGCGGATGCAGTGCGAACAACGCGGCCACCCAAGCTGCCACCCAAAAGCTGAGGTCCTCAGGCAATTCGACGGAACGCTGTTCGACTACTTGTTCTTTGGCTGGAGCAGGGTCAGTTTTTTTCTTCTTCCGCTTAGAGTTTCGTTCCACTTTCCGCTTGGTCTGAGGTACGTCGCGGGGGCCTGTCACACTCGCCGGAGGAGCGGTTGCCACACGAAGCACGACGAACAGCAAGACGGTATTTACCAGGTGGAAGAAAACGCTCGTGGCGTGATGCAACCATACACCCTGCTCAACGCCGGCCATCTCGACATCAAGCATGTGCGACACCCAGGTGAGTGGATGCCAGTTCGATGAGTGCGACGTGGTGAAGGCCCAATGCACTCCAGAGGCCGTCAATCCCTCGCCTACAGTGGGGTTCTCATAGATGTAAGCGTTGTCATCCCAACCGAGAAAGTCGTGCTCGAGCACCTGTGCGTAAACAGCTGCCCCCAATACAACCAGCACAATGCCCGTTATCCAGTCACGGCGTCCGACCCCCATCTTCTCTTTGCGTCTCCCGCTGTCGCATGATGAACCCCCACTCCGAATACCACACTGTACCACGGAACGGCAGCGGCGTGACCAGGCCCTTTTTATCCGTGCACATGAGCATCATTTGGCATAAAATCTTGCATGAAACCGGTGACTCGCCGGTTCTGCCCACCCAACTATCCTTCCCCACGGCGGAGGCTCTTGCGAGCATGTCTATTCTGAAAGTTCATTCAAACAACCTTTCAACTTCTCGAACACAAATGCTGCTCGCTGCGACCATGGCCTGTGTGCTAACCCTGTGCTTGGTATCGCGGAGTCAGGCAGAAACCAAGAACGCCAAGGAGCAACCTCGTGGGTATTCCATTCCCTTGATTGACTTGGCTGGGGACGAAAGTCGCCAGGTGATCGTGGATCGCGAAGAGGGTCAGTACTTGGGCCACCCGACTACGGTGTTGCTGGAAGACGGTCGCACTATGCTTGTGGTTTATCCGAAAGGTCACGGCCGCGGGGCGATCGTGATGAAGCGGAGCACCGATGGTGGGCTGACATGGTCCGACCGGCTGGATGTGCCTGAGAATTGGTCGACCTCGCAGGAAGTGCCGACCATCTATCGTGTGGTCGACTCGGCGGGGACCAAGCGGCTGATCATGTTCTCGGGCCTCTATCCCATTCGCATGGCGGTTTCTGAAGACGATGGGAATACCTGGTCGCCGCTAGAGCCGATCGGCGATTTCGGCGGAATCGTGGCCATGAGTTCGCTCGTACGGCTGAACGACAGGCGGTACATGACGTTCTTTCACGACGACGGAAGGTTTCTGCACGACTCGAAAAAGGTCGACAAGTTCATCGTCTTCAAGTCGGTTTCCGACGATGGCGGGCTGACCTGGAGTGCTCCAGAAAAGGTGGTGAGCCACCCCAAGGCTCACCTTTGCGAGCCTGGGGTGATTCGCTCACCCGATGGCAAGCAATTGTGCATGCTGCTCCGCGAGAACAGCCGCAAGCTCAACTCATTTGTTACCTTCTCCGACGACGAAGGCGAAACCTGGAGCGAGCCGGTGGAAGTGCCGGGAGCCCTAACTGGAGACCGCCACACGGGCCGCTACGCCCCCGACGGGCGGCTGGTCATCTCGTTTCGCGACACCACCCACGACAGCCCCACCAAGGGCGACTGGGTGGCCTGGGTAGGCACCTACGAAGACATCGTGGAGGGCCGTGAGGGCCAATATCGCATTCGCCTGATGGACAACCAGAAAGGGGCCGACTGCGCGTACCCGGCTGTCGACCTTCTGCCAGACGGGACTTTCGTCCTCACGACCTACGGGCACTGGACCGAGGGCGAGATGCCCTATATAGCCAGCGTCCGCTTCAAGCTCGACGAGATCGATTCACTCGCAAAATCAGGACAATAGGGCCATTCTGATCTAGAATAGGATCTCGGAGGCCGCGGTGCTTGCCGTGCGCTCGTGCAACGCCGTATAGTGATGAAAACCCCTCACTTTGTGGGAACTAGCGGCACCAGTGAGCTTTCAACGTTTCTTCGGTAGTCCATGACAGAATCGATCTCCAAACCGCGAATGATGCGACGCATTGTTGCGGCCATGGTTGCGCTGTCGGTTCTGGGCCTGGGTTTAGCTGTCTATAAGCTTTGGCAGCCGGAAGAGACGGAAGAACAGATTCGCCAGGTGGTCGAGTCCGAGGAGCTGTTGCTCTCGCTCACGCCCCAGCTAAAGAAGCTGGCCAGCAGTGCGATGAATCTGCAACTGCCAGATTTTCGCAGCACCGAGCTGTTTGCCGACCAGGTCACGGTGAACGATCTCGACGCGGAACACGGCGATCATGTCGACCACGAGATGGAAAGCGTCTCGATCGCGGTCGATAAATGGGATGTCACCAAAGATCCCATCACAGCCTCGCCCGAGGAATTGGACTTGTGGCGGCCGCTGCTCGAAAGGGTGGAGTACTTTGATCACGCAAAGTTCTACCTGGTGCGTGGCGAGTATGTGGGCGACTCAAGAGACCGGTGGGAAGCCGAAGTCGGGTTCGCTGGTCTGGCTCGATTGAAAGACGGCCAGTGGTGCTCGGTGAAGGGTAGCCAAGACATGGTGTTTGCCAGGCAACCTTCAACGGTAGCTCAATCTAAGGACGACTGGCGGATCGCCGACTGGCATCTTCATTACCTGAAGACGATGCGGACCTCAAAGCCGCTCTTCCGCGAGGTGCTCGACGAAGCAGTTCCCGACAGCGAAGCTCTGGCATTGGCCCGTCGCTCGTTAAATGACGAATGGCGTGTGAAGCTCTCGAAAGACCCGCAGTTCAAAGAACCGTACCCGCACTTTGCCGACGCGTTCAACTACGAGTCGGGCGTGTCGGTGGTGGATCTGAACCGGGATGGCTTCGACGACTTCCTGGTCGTTCCTCGGTGGGGACATCTCTTGTTCTTCGAGAATCAGGGCGACGGCACTTTCAAAGAAAAAGCCGCCGAATTGGGGCTCAACTTTGAGGACCATTGCACTTCGGCCATCTTTGCCGATTTCGATAACGATGGTGATTCTGACTTGTTCCTGGGTCGTTCGCTGAAGCCGGCGGTGTACCTGATGAACGAAGGCGGGGTGTTCGTCGACCGCTCAGACTCGCATGTTGGCTTGCAGTTGCCTTCGCTCATCCACTCGATTTCTGCCGTCGATTACAACAACGATGGCTTGTTGGACGTTTACATTTCGACCTACGCCGCATACATCGTCCAACGCGAATTGCAGCAGGCTTCGCCCAACTCACCAGACGCGGTTCTGCCCGACTTCCTAGACGAAGAAACCAGTGCCCAGCTCGCCGAGCGGGTTCGTAACGAGCATCACCCCATTCTCGATCGCAGTGGGCCCCCCAACATCCTGCTGTTGAATTCTGGTGACGGGAAGTTCGAGCGTTCGCCTGTCTCCGATCAACTGGCCGTGTGGCGGAATACCTTCCAGGCGACCTGGGCCGATATCGACAACGACGGCGACCAGGATGTGTACGTGGCGAACGATTTCGCCCCCAACAATCTGTTCCGCAACAAAGGGGATGGGTCGTTTGAAGACATCACCGAACCGACCCAAACCGCCGATGTGGGCTTCGGTATGGGGGTCGCGTTTGGCGACTACGATTTCGACGGACGGCAGGATCTTTACGTATCGAACATGTACAGCAAGGCCGGACGCCGCATTACAGCCCAATTTCCCGACCTCGACCCTCGCTTCGCCGCCATGGCGCGGGGGAACTCGCTGTTTCACAATCTCGACGAAAGCTTCGAGAAGGTCTCCGGTGTGGATGAACCTTCGTTGCTGGTCGAAGCGGCTGGCTGGTCGTGGGGTGGGCAGTTTCTCGATCTGGATAATGACACCGACCTCGACATCTTCGCCCTGAGCGGCAATCACTCGGAACCCGATGAGACTGCCGTTCAGGTTGATTTGTGAAGTGCCTACTGGCGCGCGGTCGTGCGCACTGACGAGAAGTTGAAGGATTCCGCTGCCGACTCCGAGGCGTGGAAGCCTCAGGGAACGACTGAATACACAGTCAACGACTTGCTGAATACTACGGTGCCGCCTGGGTTCTCGTTCTCGGGATCGGAACGCAATCACCTGTTCATTAGCCGCGATGCCGAGCAGTTCGACGATGTTTCAGGCGTGTCGGGGCTCGACTCCACGGCAGACAGTCGCAGCTTCGCAGTGCTCGATTTCAACCGTGACGGGCTGCAGGACGTGGTCGTGGTGAACGTCAGCGAGCCAACCTTGAACTTGTACCGCAACGAAACGGACAAGACGGCCGGCGAAGGCAACTCCACTGCCAAGAATATGTTTGCGATTCGCTTCCGCGGTGGAAACACCTCGGGCAAATCCTCCAGCGAGTATTCAACTCGTGATGGATACGGCACAATGGTTCGCCTGCAAGTGGGAGAACGCACGCTGCTGCGTCAGCACCGCTGCGGCGAAGGGTTTGCTTCGCAGAATAGCAACACCATGATCATCGGCCTAGGTCCAACAGAATCGGTGAATAACGTCGAAATCCAATGGCCCTCGGGCATTGCGCAAACCATTCCTGAGGCGAAAGCCGGAACCTTAATTACCGTGTACGAGAATCCTGCAGATTCGCCCAGTGGCGACTTCTATGCGAGCGAGCCGTACACATCGGAGAAGCCAGCACCCACGCAAGAGAAGACAGGCGATTCGGACTTGCCGAAGTTGGTTTTGCAATCACTCGACTCTGATGCCTTGGCAGACGTGCGGATGTACACCACCACGGCCACCTGGTGCAGTGCTTGCAAGACATTCCTTCCACAGTTGAAGAAGCTGCGAGAGTCGTTCGAGCCTTCGGCGCTGGCTATTTATGGGCTTCCAGTCGATCCGGACGATGACCAAGAAAAACTGGCGAGATACGTTCGCGACTACGACCCGGCGTACGACATGGTGCCAGCGCTTGAGCCCGAGGAGCGTGACCAGGTCGAGGACTTGGTGCTAGCCAAATTCAAGGACTCTGCTCCGCTGCCCACCACCATCATCACCGACCGCGATGGGCATGTCCTGCTCACCACCGGCGGTGTGCCCACGCTTTCCGAAGTAAGGCGGTTGATGGATCAACTGCAGTAGGCAACCGCAGGGCTGGGTAAGCTCGACTGCAATCTCTTTCTGCGTGACTCAAAGTTCTGTGGAATCGTCGCATGTTGGGAGTCATTTCTAAAAAGAGACTCCTCTTCCTCGGTCTTGCCACGGTCATTGGCCTGTTCGTACTGCTCTCCGGGTGGGGATTTCAAAAGATCTCTCACCAGCGGGAAGCTGAGGCAGCCATTCTGGACGCCGGGGGATGGGTAGGGTTGGCCGTCCCGGGAGGTTTCCCAGAGGTTGCAGAGGATTTCCTGGAAGACCTGGGGTACACGCAGATTGTCGAGATCAGCTTGCCCGATGGAATCGACTCTCTGGAAACAGAGCACCTTCCATCGCTGGACCATGTTCGATTTCTCTACATTTCAGGAGATCTTCCGGCTTCAAATCTCTCATTTGTGGAAGGCTTCAACGATCTGCAATCCGTCAATCTTATGGAGGCGAAGATCGCAGACGGAAACCTGCAGTACCTACCTGCTGACATTGAAAGCCTCAGCTTAGCTCAGGCTACGTTTAACGATAGAGAATTAACCTATGTGGGCAAGTGCACCCAACTGGAGGAGCTGAACCTAAATGGCACGCAGATCACTGACCAGGGAACCGGCGGCCTACCGCAGCTACGCCGTTTGAGAATGCTTGAGTTTCCCGGCACGCAAATCGGCGATAGGACGTTGAAGCACCTAGCAAACCTCACGAAACTCGAATACCTCGATCTCACTGGATGCAAGGTCACCGATAAGGGCATGCAGCATCTCTCTGGATTAAGTGCAATCGAGCTGCTGTGGCTGGATGACACGACTATTTCCGACACTGGGCTGAAGTCGATCGCATCGCTCACGAGCCTGCAAAGTCTGATGCTGGGGAATACATCCGTGAGTGAAGCCGGACTAATTCACCTCAAGGCCATGGCTCGAATGGAAGAATTGAATCTTGCTGGGACCCAGGTCGCCGACGAAGGGCTCTCGAACCTCAGCAACATGCGCAACCTGATGATCTTAGATTTGAACGACACGCTTGTGACCGACCAGGGTCTTGAGCACCTAACCGGGCTGAAGAACTTGTTCCACCTCTCGCTATCAAACACTCAGGTATCCGACGAGGGCATTCAAGTGCTACAACATCTCCCCAAGCTGGAACGCCTGGCCGTTGATGGTACGCAAGTTACTCACGAAGGCGCTTCGCGACTGCGAGAAAAACTTCCGGAGCTGGAAGTCTGGCGATGAGGGATGACCTTCTCTGGTTGTCCTAGACGATCTTGGCGATGTCTTCGGAACGGCCCAGGGCGATGAGGTTATCGCCGACGAGGATTTCATCAGTGCCTTCGGGCGGGAGCACCAGTGTTCCATCGGCGCGGCGGATGCCGACAATCATGATGCCGTGTTTGCGGAGATCGGCGGTGGCCAGGGTCTTGCCAGCATATTCGCTTCCGTCCGCCACGTTGATTTCAGCCAAGTCGAGTTGAGTGCCGGGGCTCGAGACCACTTCGAAAAAGTCTTCCAGGTTGGGGTTGGCCAGAAGTTGGGCCATCTTCATGGCACTGGTTCCGAAGAGGGTGATCACCCGATCGGCCCCCGCTTTTTGCATCTTCGGAACACTCGACTCGTCAATCGCTCGAGTGACAATTCGCAAGCCCGGTACCAGCGAGCGAGCCGACAGGGCGACGTAGAGATTGTCGGCATCGGTCGAAAGCACAGCGGCCAGGCCCACTGCTCGTTCGATGCCGGCATCCTGCAGGACTCGGTCGTCGGTCGCGTCGCCCACGACGCAATGCCAGCCAGCTTGGGCACAATTCTGCTCAATGGAATCGTCTTGATCTATGACGACAAAGGGGAAGCGTTTGGCAGCCAACTGCTGACATAGGGCCAACCCCATGCGTCCACCGCCGCAGATAATGAAATGATTGCGCATCGTCCGCAGTTCCGAATCCATACGACGCCTCCCGAACCAGTGATTCAATTCCGCCCGAACTGCCAACTCGCCAAGGTAGACAATGCCAAAGAAGAAGATCCCCAGCCCGACCACCAGGTAGACCATGATGAAGATCCGGCCGGCGGTCGAAAGTGCGTGCACCTCGTTGTAGCCCACGGTAGTAATCGTAATCACCGCCATGTAGAGCGAATCGAAGAAGCTCCACTTCTCGATAAGCATCAGGCCGACGGTGCCAACAGCCGGCAACAACGCCAGAGCGACCACCACTCGGATTCCTGTCAGCATTTTCCCTCCGCATCACTCGCTAGCCACAGGCGATATCGCTAGATCGATCATCGCAAGGCACTCCATGCGGTAAGATTCTGGCTGGAGTCGGGCATTACGTCAAACGGACAACTGTTTAAGTCACAGGGAAGGCAATACAGAAGTGAGCCGATGCGGGCGCCGCTACTGCAGCAGGCTTCACCGCGGTGCGAGCTAATCGCCAACCGTGACAGTGTCACCAATCCTGAGCACCGCAGTCGAGCCAGCATCGGACCGTCGAGTGTTGATCGCCACACGGAAGTAGTGATCGAACCGCTGGCGCGGGGACCAAGTTGGCAGCGACTCGCTGCGTAGCTGGGAGAAGCGTTTGGCAAACCCTGAGATTACTGCACCGGTTTGGGGGTGGCGGCTGGGCACAACGCACCGCTGACAGATGCCGAGCCCTTCAAAGTTGACTTCGCCGATCGAGAATCGCACGGGGTCTTCTTCGCTGATCCCCACCAGTCGATCTTCCCAAAACGGATCATCGGAGTCGATTTCCAGGTTCGCGCGGAAACGGTTTCGGACCTCGTCTGGCTCAATCTCGGGAAACCACTTAGCGATTTGATTAAGCGTTGCCGAAGAGACAATGGTTGGACCTGGGAAGTCGGTGTCGTCGGGGAACCCACCCTCGGTGTTTTCCGCCAAGTGCACCTTCATCGCGAGTGCGTCACTCAGCCAAGTTTCGATCTTCTCCCGCTCATTATTCAAATGCAGGGCAGGGGAGTTGGAAGCATTCGCATACGTGAGGGTGACTGTCTCAGCGGCGAGGTCGAACGTTGCCCGGATCTTGTGAACACCGGACGAGCGTTTTCCGTTGATGCACTTGCCCTGCTCATCGAGCATGATCCAACGACGGTCGTTCCGCAAAGCACCGCCAGGTAAAACCTCGCAGCTCTCCAGCGAGACCCCATCGAGCGACTTGATGGGATAGACGGTGATGCGAGAGAGACGTGGCATGCAAGCAAGACCAGAACGTGACCGAAGAGTTCGCGCTATTTGGTGTCCGTTAGGCTCAGGTACTGTTCGTATAGCTCGGAACAGTTGATCGCCTCGCCTTCGGAATAGATACAGATTCCGAACTGCAACGTGAGCGGAGCTTCTCGGCTTACCTCTACGCGGCTCTTTTCTTCTCCTGTAAAGGCATTGCGGCCGAAAGGGTTGGCCAGCAGCAGTCCGTAGTCGCGAACGTGAAACCAGCTCTCGCGGAAGTTCCCCGGGTGCGGCATTAGCAACACGCCCAGATGCTGAACGTTGAGTGTACCTCCATAATCACACCAGACCGCCTGCTTGCCCCATGCACCGGCTTCATCGCGGTCGCCATGGCTATTCAGCACGTGACCACCTTCTTTGACGATGAGATTTGTGGCCAGCCGAACACCTAGCCCCATTTCTTCTTGGTCGCCAAACGCCACTGAACCGGCCGTGGGGGTAAACGTCGAAGTCCACAGCAGGAAATAGCCGGCAGGGCAGGGCACAAACTCAATGTGGCACTCTTCCTCACAGACCGGAGAGCCGTCGGTCTCGTAACGATTACGAACCGTGAAGCCTGCTCTCGAAGCATTCTCCGAAGAAACCTCGAGGGCCATGTTCTTCACCACAGCCTTATTTCGCCAGAAGTCGCCGCCACCGAGTTCGCCAAAGGCCATCCAGATACCGGGATGGTAGGTTGGGTGATCCGTCAGATCGACACCTTCCCGCGGCGGATGGTTGCGTGTGACCTGTATTCCATCGACTGTGCAGACATCGCAGAAGTAGGGGCGTGGAATCTCTTCGTCTTGATACACGTAACGAGCGACCACCTGCGGGCCGAAGGATATCTTCAGTTGGTTCGAAGCCTTCTCGATCCGCACTTGCGGCTCAGCCGCACTGGCAGGATTGACCGAGACAAGCAGGCACACCACAAGGAGGATCGTCCATCGCCACGTCGCAGGAGAGGAAAGCCCTCGGAGTAACCGGAAGGTTTGATGAAACATGCTCATCGCTTTTCTGTCACTCCGAAGCTGCGAAATCTCTCTTAATGAACACAAGTTCAAACGAAGTTGGCAGCTAACGCTGTTCGATCTTTACCCCATCGACCACCTTGTCGCTGGGATGCACGACCACTCTGTCGCCTTCTTCGAGGCCAGAAAGCACTTGGCTTTCCAGGGCGTTGCGTCGACCGATCTCTACTAGACGTACCTGGGCAACTCCCCCTTCGTTGACGAAAACGGCCCAATCATCGCCCTGGCGGAATAAGGCGCTGGTCGGCACCTTTAGCACATCAGGATTCTCCCAAATCACCATGCGTGCCTCAACGCGGTATCCGTCGCCAAGGTTGTTCCACAATTCTAGAGGGTCGGTGAAGTCGGCAATCACATAGACACGTTGCTCTTCAACGCCCAGGGCTGAAATCTTGGTGAACGCCTGGGGTTCGACCCGTTTGACACGAGCGTTCAGGGGTTGGTCGCCTCCCCAGTGCTCGAGAATTACTCGATCGCCGGGGGTAATCTTTACCGCATCGCTCGATAAGACATCGACTTCGATCTCCAAGTCGTTTCTGGCACCGAGTTCTAAAAGCTCGGTGCCGGGCGTGACGATGGCGCTGCTTTCTTGCAGCACCTTGAGGACGGTTCCGTCGATGGGCGAGTGAATCTCGACGCGTGGCGACTCGGCTTCCTCATCGGGGTCGGTATGTATCAGGGCGGCTTTTGCCAGTTCCAGTTCGAACGTGGCGATTTGAACTGCAAGCTGCGCGGCCTTAAGTTCTTCAGAACGTTGCCGCTCAAGCAGTTCGTATTCTTCGTATTCGTTGGATGTAATAGCCCTTTGCTCGCGAAGTTCTTGGGCTCGCCGGAATTCCGATTGAGCGAATTGGTACCGCACTTTGGCTTGTTCAAGATCTGGGCCTGCGCGCTCGAGAGTTTTTTCGGCCCGTTTTACACGTGCCTCCGCTTCGGCCAGAGAACGTGCGTCGAGCAAGGTGGGGTTCGTGGGTTCGAGCACGGCGAGCAGTGTCTCGCCAGCTACCACTTCATCGCCAGGATCGAGTTCGATCCGCAATAAGCGGCCTGCCAGGGGTGAGGAAACCACATAGCGCTCGCGAACGCGGGTTTGCCCTTCTTCATCGACGGTGACGACCAACTCACCTCGACCGACTGCTTGCAGATCTACGCCCACTGGTTTTGGGAGCAGGGCAAAGACAATGGCCCCCACGGTACCGATGGCAATCGCGGCGAGCAGCCCCCGATTTGCCCAGCGGCGAAAACGCCCCGTGCCCGAGGTTCGGCGTGTCGAGTCGAGTTGCTTTGAGTTGGCTTTCATACCCTGCCCGGGCTTCTCTATTCTCGCGTCTTCAACACTTCTACCAAGTCTAAGTGATCGAGCCGCCGCCGGACGATTAGCCCTGAGAGGAACGCGGCGATGATCACCACCCCCGCGGCATAGGCATAGGTGGCACTGCTAATCACAACAGGGATGCGGTACAGCTCGGTATCCAAAAATGTGGAAGCCGCGACCACTTGAAGATACCCCAATACCAATCCTAACGGCAGAGCAACCGCCGTGAGCACCGCCAGCTCGCCAAGCAAAATGAAGCTAATTTCGGCCCTAGTGAGACCGATCACCCGCAATGTGGCAAGTTCCCGGCTTCGTTCCGAAAGTGCAATTCTAGCTGAGTTGTAGACCACACCAAACGCAATCACCACGGAAAAGAAGATGTTGAAGGCCTGCATTCTCAGCATGTTTTCGGCCAATGTTTCCTCGAAACTGCGAATGGCGGCGTCTTTCAGCGTGACACTGGCTACCGCAGGGGTTTCCTTTAGTGTTGTGTATAACTCATCCAATTTAGCCGAATCGGCCGTGAGATTGGCTCCCGAAACGGAGCTTCCTTCTCGCATGACACTGTTTAGGGCGTTCATATTCATGTAGGCCGACATTCCAACGAACTCGGCGAACACGCCCGAGACTGGGATCTGCCGCACGGGCCGAGAACCTTCCAACACTTCGACCGTGGCCACGTCACCAACGCTTAGCCCTAACACCTCAGCCAGCTTTTCAGAGAGCATCAGACCTTCTTGCGGCAACTCTACTTCGTGCAGACTGTCATCTATCAAGCGCTGCAGCCTCGGTTTATCTGGCAAGCCCATGATGCCAACGCGGCGATCGCGATGCTTGAAACGGAGACGAGCCGGAACCGCTCGGAATGGCTCGATGTCCATCACGCCGGGAAGGTGTTTGGCCTCGTAGATGGCCTCCGCTGGGCGGGGTTCGACATAGGTAAGCGTAATGTTCTGCCGTTGTGCAACATTGAACTGGGCGTCGATCATAAAGTCCAAAGAGTCCGTCATGAACTGCCCAACCACAAGAATGGAGACCGACAAGGCAATTCCGAACGACGACAAGAACGCCTTCAGTGGCTGCCGCTCCAAGTGACGCAAGATCATACGCGAGGGCTGGGTTAGCAGACGCTGCAATCCCAACCGTTCAACAAACGTCTCACGATAATGCGCTGGTGGCTCGGGGCGCATGGCTTCGGCGGGGGGCAATTTCACCGCACGGCGAACGGCAACTAAGGTTCCCACCACGGCAGATATCGAACTCACCGCCACTGCCAAGACAACCACGCTTGAATCAAGATGATAGAGCAACGAGGGAAAGCGATAGAACTGGGTGTACATCTTGGTCAGATCGCGTCCCAGAAAGTATCCGGCGATAATGCCAACGACACTTCCGGCCAAGACGATCAATAGCACCAGCTTGAGATAGTGGACGCCGACCTCGAAGTGCGAGTAGCCGAACGCCTTGATCGCAGCAATTTGCTCCCGTTGGGTACCGATCAGCCGGTTCAACACCACGTTCAGCAGGAAGGCGGCCACCGAGAGGAAGATCGTCGGCACGATGAAGGCCATCCGGCCCAGTTGATCGATCTCATCGGAGATGAAACGGTGAGAAACCTGATCGTCGCGGCCGTACGCGCCTTGCCCTCCGTAGGTCTCGGTGAGATCGTCGAGGCGGGCTAGAATCTCTGCCTCGTTGGCCTCAGGCATCATCGACGCAGTAACGTTGTTGAACGCCCCATCCATATCAAAGGCAGCTTCCATGGGCGTGAGCCCCATCCAGAAGACACCAAAGCGTTTGTCGTCGGGGAGGATATCTCCCGGCCGGATCGAGTAGAGGTATTCAGGCGAAAGAGCGATCCCCACGATTTCCAGCTCTTTACGGCGGCCATTCAAGATGGCCACTACGGTGTCGCCCGCTTGCAATTCATGGGCCTGAGCAAAACCCTCACTGACAACCACCTCGTCATCTTCTCGAGGTTCGGGCATACGCCCTGCTCGGAGATAGAGATTATTGAGCAACGGTTCGCCGCGATCGGGAATGGAAATTAAGCGCCCGATGGCTGGCTCGATCATGCCGGGCACGTCGAGGTTCACATCGAACACCACGCGGGTTTGCACCCGGGCTACCCCTGGAATTTGCTCCATGCGGTCAATCAAAGTCCGCGGCGCTCGCTTCATCTGCGTAAAAACGTCGGCGAAGCGATACCGCTGGTAGTAGGCGTCGAGCGAGAGCTTCAGCGAGTCTTGCGCGCTGAGTGCGAGCACAAACATGGCCACACCACTGGCGATCACCAGCGTTATGGCGACGGATTGCCCCTTCATCAGCATCAGGTCGCGTAGCAGCTTGCGATCGAGGGCCCGCATGGGTGCATCACCATTGAAGTTCGCGTGGCGACCGCTTGGTATCGTTCAAGTGGACTGAGGCAATCTTTCCGTCGGAGAGCGAAATCACGCGATTGGCCATCTCCGAGATACCAGCATTGTGCGTAATCACAGCCGTGGTGGTCCCCAGCTCTTCGTTCACCCGTTGGATCACTTCTAACACGATGACCCCCGTGCTGTAATCAAGGGCCCCCGTGGGTTCGTCGCACAAGAGCACATCGGGGCGTTTGGCAATCGCTCGGGCAATGGCAACGCGCTGCTGTTCTCCACCAGAGAGCTGCGCGGGGAAGTGATCTAACCGGTGCCCCAGCTCGACCATCGAGAGGGCCTCTTCCGGCGGCATGGGGTCTCGGGCAACCTCAGTGACCAGGGCCACATTCTCGCGGGCCGTCAGGCTGGGGATGAGGTTGTAAAACTGAAAGACAAAACCCACGTGGTCGCGGCGATAGCGAGTGAGCTGCCGGTCATCGCTCCGTGTGAGATCGGTCTCACGATAGCGGACTGTTCCACTGGTAGGAATATCTAGGCCGCCGAGGATATTCAGCAGCGTCGACTTCCCACTTCCCGAGGGCCCCAGGAGTACAACGAATTCCTTTTCGTACAAGTCGACATCTACACCACGCAGGGCGTGAACGTCGATCTCGCCCATGTGGTAGACCTTGGTGAGGTCGCGGGCCTGGAATACCGAGACGGCCGGAGCCGTGGGCGAGTCTGTTTGACCGGCGGAGTTCATGCCTTCCATTATAGAAGGTAGCCACGCGGCAGCGAAGGTGGTGCGAGAAACCTCGCCCCCGACCAAGAAGCATGGACTAGCGGGCTAGGCCGTAACGGCTACCATTTCGCCGATGCTGATATCTCCATTGGCATCGACCAGCGGGAAGGTCTCGAGCCCGTTGTGCCAGTGCTGGCAATTCCGCCCTGCGTTCTTGGCGGCATACAGGGCTTCGTCCGCCCGTTTGATCCATTCAGAATCCGATTCACCGTTGCGGCTTTGAGCGATTCCTGCACTGGCCGTGACGCGAAGGGACTTCTCTTCAAAGTTGACGACGCTTCGGTAGATGGCCCGGCGTACCTCGACCGCCACAGGGGCGGCTTCTTCCAGCGTGGTGTTTGGGAATATCACGGCAAACTCTTCGCCACCGTAGCGAGCTGGGATATCCTGTTCGCGAACCATCTCTCGGAGCACACGACTCACACTCCGCAGCACTTCATCGCCAGCCAGGTGACCATGGCGATCGTTGAATCGCTTGAAGTGATCGACATCCAACATCAGCAAGGTCGTCGGCTTTTGCTTCTCAATTTGCGAAGCCAGGTGCTGCTGGATCAGCTCGTCGAATGCACGGCGATTAGCTAGGCCAGTCAGGCTGTCTGTGCGAGCGTCTTCGGCAAAGGCATCGATTTGCTTTGTTTGGTCTTGGAGCTTTTGCTTGGTGCTGTTCAGCTCCGACTGCATCGATTCATTTGCTTTGATGAGGCTTGCAACCGCTGTTAACACGCTTGCCGAATCGTTACTGGAATCGCCCGACAGTTCATCGGAGATTTCCTGCATGAAGCTATTGTGCTGATCGATTCCCCGAGCAACATCGTCGGTGAGCCCACCAACCGAGGCGACGATCTTCTTGAGGTCGGCGAGTTGATCTTCAACCAGATCTTGCTCTGTGACGATGATCTCGACCACAACGTTGCCTGCTAGTGTTTTCAACGGAAAACAGAGTGGCACCTGGCGAGTGTGGTACCTGGCTTGCGAAGAGACGCCCTGAAACAAGATCGGGTAGGTGGTGTGCTGCTCTTCCTGAATACGAGTCGCGATTCCGCTAGTGAATTCGACAATCGTATCGAGCGTTTCGTGATCGACCTCACGTTTCGGCCGCTTATGAATCTTGGCGTCGATCGCCAGGATGACTTCGGGGTCGAAATTGACGACCAATGTGCCCTTGAGCTTACCGGCGAACCCAACCATTGCGGGCACACTACGATTGGGCTCGGCATCGCGTTTCACGAACGGACGACCTCGAGTGATCGACCATCCCAACGCTTCAGTAAAGTGATCTTGTACGGCGGTAATCACCGGGTTGATCAGTTCTGCCTTCATGATTTCTTACATTCTACATGGGTGCGAATTCTTAGGTGCGGTTTCAACAGATATAGCTTACGAATACGCCCTATCGAGGGGTGCAGATTCAGAATGCCTCGACGTATGGAATCTCTAAAACATAGGTCAGCAATTGCTGATTGCCGCCACCAAGGTTGAATAAGTTCGAAGCTAACGGTTAATCTGGTTATTGTGAGGCACGCGCTCGAGAACAGAGGAACTAGTGACCAGCATGAGCAAGCAATTCTTCTCGGTGGAGCTGATCTGCATTGGTACCGCTTTAGTCACCGGTTTAGCCACACAGGTGAGTTCGGCTGAAACAGTCACTGTGGGGAAAGCCTGGCCAGCGAACCAGCGAGTATCGATTGATCAGATCGATCACGCTCCGTTCAGCGAGCTGTTGACGCAGTATGTGGACAATTCCGGCAGGGTCGATTACACCGGCTGGAAAGCTGCTCCAAATGCCCAACAGTCGCTAACTCGCTACCTAGAATCGCTATCCGTGGCCGAGCTTTCTTCGCCGGCCAACCGCGAGGCCAAACTTGCCTATTGGATCAACGCCTACAACGCACTCACGATTTACGGCATTCTGCGGGAGTATCCCACCAGCAGTATTCGCAATCACACACCGCGTCTGTTTGGATACAACATCTGGGACGACCTGCAGCTCATCGTGGGAGACCAGCAGTTTTCGCTGAACCAGATAGAGCATGAAATTTTGCGAAAGATGGACGAGCGTCGCATCCATTTTGCCATCGTGTGCGCGTCTATCGGATGTCCACGGCTGCGGAACGAAGCTTACACGGCCGATCGGCTCGAAGTGCAGCTCACGGACAACTCGCAAGACTTCTTCGCCGACCCGAGCCGATTCCAGGCAGATCAAGACGGGGCCAAACTATCGGTCTCACCGATCCTGCTGTGGTTTGGCAAAGACTTTGGGGCAACACCCGAGGAGCGGATGCAAACCATTGCGCCCTATTTGCCGAACGCGGCGGCTCGTGAGCTTGCCACCAGCGGGAAAGCCAAACTCACATTCCTGAATTATGACTGGGATCTGAACGATCAGGCGACCGCAAAGTAAAAGGACTGCCTCGAGGTGGCACGCTAGCAGCCCTGGCTTCGTACGATCTGTCAATACTCCAACAGACGCTAGCACTCGATTGCCCCTTTAAAAAGTCATCTTGCGTCGTAGGTCGTATCTCGCCAGAATCCGCACGCTTTTCTATTCACACGATTTCCCATCAATTGTGAACTTTGGCCCGCCACGATATGGGCCAAGCCATGGTCGACAACAGGATGTGTTGACGTGGCAATTTTTGGCGACGCGGTCGCTTCTTACATCGAAAGGATTCGACGATGAAGAAAGTCGCATGTTCAGCTCTGGGAGCCATGGCGACCTTAGTTTTGATGTCGGGCTGTTGTGGCTCCTGCTGCGGTGGATGCGGGACGGGTGGCTATAGCTCGCCGGTTTACGGAGCCCCTGCCGCTTGTCCGCCTTCGACATACGAGAGCGCCCCCGCTTATACAACGCCTCCGGTTTACACAGCCCCGCCTGCCAGCACGGGCACGTACGTTCCTCCGCCGGCTGGTTGAGAGGATGACCGTGGACAACACTAAAAGCATGCAGCGCTCGCCTGACCGAGCTGAGATTCAGGAAGGAGTCTGGGTGATCATCCCCGCGATGAATGACCAGACTACGGTTTCAGTGGTGCTGAACGAACTGCCCGAAGTTACGCGAGTGATTGTGGTCGACAACGGTTCGACCGACCGTACCGCTCAAGTGGCCGAGTTGGCGGGCGCCAAAGTCGTGAGCGAACCTCGACGAGGCTACGGCTGGGCTTGCCTGCGAGGAATGCAGGCGATCGTCGATTCCGTCGAACAAGGTGACACGGCGCCTGAAACCGTTGTCTTCTTAAGCGGCGACAACAGCGATCCGGCCGGTCATCTCTCGAGTCTTACGGCCCCAATAGCTGCGGGAGAAGCCGACTTTGTGCTCGGCTCGCGTCGGTCGGGGACGGGAAAGAACGCTTCGATGCCATGGCAACGTGCCCTGAGGAATCGCGTGGCCTGTCTGCTGATGCGGTGGATGTTCGGGGCCAGCTACACCGACATTGGGCGCTTTCGCGCCATTCGATACGAAACGCTACGGCAGTTGGGAATGGTCGATCGCAACTTTGGTTGGTCGGTCGAAATGCAGATCAAGGCAGCCAGGGCAGGGCTGACAACTTTGGAAGTCCCGGTGCCATATCGACGAAGCAACGCGAGCGCTAAAATCGCCGGAAAAGTCCAGGGTGCCTATCGGGCAGGATGGAATGTGCTGTACACCATTGCCAAATATGGTTGGCTGACTCGCAAGCCGCAGCCGGTCACGGTACGTTAGCCCTCAGGCAGAACTTACCCCACCCCAGGAATCGCAACACGCCAAGAATGGCCGGGCGGACCGAGTCTCTTCGCCGTGGCTTCGACTGTCCCAACGGACCCAGAAGTGATGGCCAAATCGAGAACACCAGAACCGATTGACGACGCGGAAGACACACGGCGTCTCGTGTATGTCGGCCTGATCGCGGTGGGGTGCTGGTTGGCGCTGTGCGTGGTTTCACGACTGAGCGGGAGCATCGACTCCCAGGCTGATCCTCAGCGGCCATTCATGACTGTGATGGGCATGTTTGCCTTGGTCTTCTTTGGCCACATCGGCGCCCTGTTGATCGGGCTGCGCATCCGATCGCGACGACGCCTGACCGAAATGATCGTCGCTGCGGCGGTGGTGTTTCGCATCACGCTTTTACCCACGGTTCCGATTCAGGAACTTGATATCTATCGCTACCTATGGGATGGGGCCGTCTCGACGTCGGGCGTGAACCCTTATCGCTACAGCCCCGACCAGATCAAGAATGCGAACGGCGGCCAAAACTTGCCAGAAAGCCTGGAGGAGTTGGTCGAACTAAGCCGTAGCGATCCGGCAATGGGGCAGGCTCTCGCCCAGGTACAGCCTGGTGACTTGACGACCATCTATCCGCCGGTGAGTCAGGCGGTGTTTGCCATGGCGAGCCTGGTCACACCACCGACGGCGTCGCTGTACGAACGGGTCGTCATCCTTAAGGCCTGGCTGGTCGGCTTCGACTTGGCCACGCTGTGGGTTTTGATCTCGCTGTTGAGAATCGTCCATCGGCATGTGGCCTGGAGCATCGCTTATGCCTGGTCGCCTTTGGTGCTGAAGGAAATCGCCAATGCGGGGCACCTCGATGCGGTCGCGGTGTTCCTTACCATGTTGGCGATCTTTCTTGCCACGCGACTGCTGTGGCCCAACCCTGAAGAGAAGACGGAAGAACCTTCCACCCGCGACTTTGCCTGGGTGGGGGCTGCACTCGGCTTCGCGGTGAGTGCAAAACTTTATCCCATCATCCTGCTTCCTTGGCTGGTTGGTTCTACCGCCAAACGACAAGGCTGGGCGCCCGCCGGCGTCGTTTCAGGAACCTCCTTGCTCATCGTACTGGCCACCTGCTGGCCGCTGGTGTTTGGTTACGGGGGCGATACGGCCCAAGCCCCGGCTACCCAGCAGCAGACCGGGGGCATCTCGGTTTCGGAGTTCTCACCAGCCCCGATCGTCACCAGGGAGAGTTCCGCGCATGGGCTGACGAGCTTCTTGAAGTACTGGGAAATGAACGACTTTCTCTTCATGATTGTCGTTGAGAACCTAAAACCTACGGTCGATGCGCAGCCGGGGTCAACGCCCTGGTTTTCGTTGGTGCCTGAGAGTTGGCGGAGCCGGGTGCTTGCGCCGTTGAGCGGAGCAGAGGATGGCTCGACCACCGGAAGTTCACCCCGAGAAGACCATGAGGCGGCCTTTGTACTCAGCCGCGTCATCACCGGCGCGATCTTCTTGATATTGATGGGCGTCTTCGCCTGGTATGCCTCGCGTGCAGAACATACCGTGGTGTGGCTTTCGTACGCGTTCCTCACCATCGCCTGGTTCTGGCTGCTGTCGCCGGCGCAGAACCCCTGGTATTGGGTCTGGGCGCTACCGCTGGTGGGCTTTGCCAGAAGTCGCGTGTGGCTGGCGATGGGGGGGCTAGTGCTGATTTACTACACCCGGTTCTGGTTCCACCTTCAATGGCCTAACGAAGGTGTGTTGGGGACCAGCTACTATGGAAAGGCATTCTTCGACTTCATGATCATTTGGGTCGAATATCTGCCGTTCTTTGTGTGGCTCATCGTGGACTGGTATCGCTCGCGGGAGCCAAAGCCCAAAGCCCCCAAGCCACAGCCGAAAAGTGCCAAGCCCAAGCCGGCGACAACGTAGTTTCAGCCACTTACTGCTTGAAGTTTGGGTTGGGTCGTGGCATCTGGGCCTCGACTTCATCGAGCCAAGCAGTCAACTGCGTCTGGAGTTGACTTGCGACCTCTGGGTGTGCGCTGGTCACATCGCTTTGTTCGCCCGGGTCGTCTTCGAGTTGATACAGTTCTGTACGTCCGTCTTCCTGGTACTGCAGCAACTTCCAGGGCCCACGGCGGACCGCAGACACTGGAGTTGTAGTGGGATAGTAGTGTGGGTAGTGAAAGAAGACCGCTTCACGTTCGAGCGATGAGGCTGGATCTTTCAACACACTTGAAACGTCGATCCCATCGAATGCTTCAGAATGATCCGCAACCTCACAGCCAGTTAAACTAGCGACCGTTGGGTGAAGGTCCATCGACAGCACCGGCTCGTCACACACCGCGCCCGGCGAAGTTACGCCGGGAAGTCGGATCATTAGGGGAACTCTCAGCCCGCCCTCGTACAATGAACCTTTGCCGGATCGCAGGGGGTAGTTCGACGTGACTTGTTCACCCCGATGAACATTCACGAAGCCACCGTTGTCGGAAGTGAAAATTACGAGCGTATTGTCCTCGAGATTTAACTCTTCTAGCTTCTTCAGCAGTTGGCCCACATTCTCGTCGAGGCTATGCACCATGGCGGCATAGCCGGCGTTTTGATGATGATCGCCGGGAGCTATCTTCTTTCGATACTGCTCGACGACATCCGGCTTGCCTTCAATCGGCGTGTGTACGGTGTGATAGGCCAAGTGCAGGAAGAACGGTTGATCGGCCACGCGATCGATTGTGGCCAGGGCCTCATCGGTGAGGCGGTCGGTGAGGTACTCCCCTTCGTGTCCCCACTCCAAGCCTGGGACGTATCGAATTTCTTCGGTGTTGCTCCACAATCCACGATACGGATAGAAGAAGGTGGAGGGGGCACCCCAGAAGCTGCCGCCGATGTTGAGGTCGAAGCCCTGCGTTTCGGGATAATGCGCAGCATCGCCCAGATGCCACTTACCAAGATGGGCCGTGAAATAACCGGCCTCGGTCAACCGCTCGGCGAGTGTGACCTCAGCATGTGGAAGGTTGCCCTCGGTGAGTGGTGGGATCAGCCTGCGATTCTGTGGCGGGTCTTGCGACTGTTCGAACCACACGGTCATATGCAGCCGTGCCGGGTACTTGCCGGTCATGAGCGCCGCCCGCGTCGGCGAGCAAACGGGGGCCGAGGCATACGCCTGGGTAAATCTGACGCCCTCGCTGGCGAACCGATCAAGGTTCGGCGTCTCATGCACGTCCGCACCATAACAACCCAAATCGGCCCAGCCTAAATCGTCGGCCAGGATGATGATTACGTTCAAGGGGCGGTCGTCCGCAGCAAAGATATGCGGCGAGCTCAGGCAATTCACCACCGTGGCGACTACGAATGCGGCAAGGCAGGGGAGGGTAAATCTTTCACGTCGCATGAACTCGACCTCGATTTTGTAGTTGCTTAGCTCTCCCAACCGCCAGGGACTGCGGAGCTAGACGGTCACCGCCTGCTCAGACGTGATGCTCACCACACAACTTCCTGCGGCTGGAATGCATTCGATCACCCCGGAAGGAAGCTGTTTGGGGGTGTAGAACAGGCTATCGAGTCGTTGCTTCAGTTGGTCGACCGCGTCGGCCTCGACGAGGACCATCGCGCATCCGCCCAAGCCAGCCCCAGCGATCTGTGCGCCCTTCACCCCCGGAGTTCGCAATGCGATGTCGACAATCGCGTCGATATCTTGCGTGCTGCAGCGATAGGCGCCGTACTGCAGGTGCAGTTCGGCACGCCGTTGTCGCCAGCTCTCGTCGCTACGAACGTCTTCAATGCGGTGACGAAGGTAGTCGTCCGAGATGTCGGCTTCCCAAGGCTCGGCGTTAAGGTCGTCGCTCACTCGATAGCAGCGTTCGCCGTCGTGCGAGATCCGCATCAACTCGCCCAGGGCAATCATGTCATTGTTTTCAAGACAAGTGGCCGCTTCGCGGGCCCTGGCGCATTCACTGATGCCAAACAACATCACGCCACGAATTGGGTAGCGATCGTCTGGTTCGGCCGATTCGAAGTACGTCTGCAGTCGCTGCCAGGTTTCAGGGTCGCCTGCGAAACTCTGGCGAATCTCTGAGGCCGTCATCTCAATCGGCAGCTCGAGTAGGATTTCGTAGATGCGATCGATCCCGACGCGCAGCGTCTCAGGCCGGATGTCGCGAACATACTGGATCAACGCCGCATACTGTGGGAATCGTGCGCGAACCAGTTCGACCCCGGCCATGTAGCTGGCAACACGAGCGTTAAAGGCCTTCTTCACGCTGCCCGCCTTTTGGGCTTGGGTGAATGAGTTGCAGACGACCATGCGGTACGATTCGGGAAAGCGAACCTGCTTAAGGACCTCGAAGTCGTGGAACTTCACGTGGGTAATCGCGCCGGCAGTGCCGAACTTCATGGCCGCATGATCGGCGCTGCCGCCGCGGGTGCCGACAAACCACTCGCCTTCGCCACAGAAGTTGACGAACTGTCTGGGCTGTACCTCAAGTCCGTGCAGTGCCACGGCGGTCTCGGCGGTTGACACGACTAAGGCTGACGAGGAACTCATTCCTGCCGCTACCGGGATGCTTCCACAGACGGCCATATCCATGCCTGAGAGCAGTCGGTCGCGGAATTCCATCTGCAATCGCAGCATGGCCGCTTCGATGTAGATCCACCACCCGCCAGCCGCTTGACGCAAGTAGCGTTCGAGCCCTGCGCTGTTGATGCAGTTGAGCCATCCGTCCCAATCGAGTTCGGCAATCAGCCTGCCTAAGGAGAGCGAAGCGTCGGGGAACTGCTCCGGATCGACATTGCGGATCTCCAGGCGATCGTCGGCTCTGGGGGAGGCCGCCACGATCACCTCTTGATTAACCGCCATCAGGTTGCAGTGCCCACCTTGCCAGTCGACGTGGCGACCGACAATGTTGATTCTGCCCGGCGAACGAACAAGGATTACGTGCCGGTCGGCCGAGAAGCATTCTTGAAACCGTAGCAGTGTGTCTCGGTAAGCCTGCCGCCGATTTGCAATGAGAGCAGGGTCGTTCGTGCCGTAAAGCTCGCTGAGTGTGGCGTTGGTTTCTTCCAGGGCTTCGCTCTCGTCGGAGAAAAGCTCGAGCCACTGGCTAACCGTGCGAAATCGATCGTGGCCCAATCGTTGTCCGATGGTGGTGAGCGATTCGCGTTGCCGCCCCTGGAAGTGATCTTCGATCACAAGCAGCTCTTCGGGGTTGTTGTAAGACATCACATCGAATGGCGTCTGCGTTTCCACGTGCCCTGCACGGACAGGCGAATCGTTGTCGCCCATTTGCAACACGGCTCCCATGGCGTCGGTTAGATACTGTTGTCCCTGCGCGTTGTCCGACGGCATGTGGTTCAGCCCACGCTCGAGCAGATCTTTCCGCACGAGGTATACTGATTCATTCCGTAGTGGGGCATTCTCAGCCGCTTCGGGGTCGATCTCTTCCGTGGAGCCGTGCAGCGGGAAGCCCATCGGGAAGCGCCGCAATGTTGCCAGCAGTTCGTTACGATCGAAGGGCAGGGCGGCTTCGAAGTCGTTGCCGTCCAATAGATGGCCCAGCGTGGCCTTCTCCCCGAGGTATTGCGAGACTACCGGCTGAAGGGCTTCCCAAGCGATTGTTTCCTGACGATGCGATGTTAGCAGCTTGTCAACTTCCTGCCGGCACCGTCGCAGGCGGATGTCAGCCATCTCGGCGATCGCCGCCGGGCGGTCTTTAGAGTCTTGCAGGATGCGACCGGCAGATTCCCCGCCCCACTCGGCGGGTGAGAGCAGAAAGGCCAGCCCCAGTTGTTCCTCGTCGTACTTGGCGAGAAGCCGCGAGAGTACGCTACTGTCGACAATCTTGTCACCGGCCACCAACAGAATGCGAGCATGCTCTTCTACTCCGGCCAGAGCTTCTAACCCTCGCTGGGCAGCGTGTCCGGTGCCCAGGGCTTCGCTCTGATAGGCGAACACCACGTTCGAAAACCGCTGACCGACGGTTTCGATCACCTGGCCGGCTTTGTCTCCGACCACAACTACGTTCTTGGCCACCCCGGCTCGGTTGTAGATATCGATCGCCCTGACAATCGTGGGAATGTCGGCCACCTCGAAACAAACTTTGTGCTTGTCATGGGCTCCCATCCGCCGCCCTTTTCCGGCGGCCAGTACGATGGAGTACAGCGGGGCGACGTTGCTCATATGCGTTTCCATTCAGGGAATTGTTGGTGAGGAACTCTGGTCGGCTGCTGTGTGATCCGAAAGCTGCAAACCCTCCAGTTTAGCATTGTTGTACGGCGACCGCTCGCGATTCTCATGGCGCGAAATCATCAAATTTTGCTCAAATTCGCTATCATCTGCCCGGCAGGCCGGCACCTTGGAATGGCAGCAGTTCTCGTCTTTCCGAAGCCGGCCTCCGCCCCCGGGGCGAGTTTTCCACCCAGGACGTGCATCTCACCTCTGGGGCAGTTATATCTGGTAGGCATCGCAACGGGTGCGAATTACTAACTCACCAGAAAACCACACCTCTCGAAATCCAGGGGACCCTCTAAGATGACGAAACCGTTTCGCTTTGTAACCACCGCGGCGGCGTCGCTCGTACTGACGCTGGTTGCTTCAGTCGCGATCGAGCAGGCCGCCTTGGCCGAAATCCAACTCTCGCCGGTGTTCGGCAGCAATATGGTGCTGCAGCGAGATAAAGAGCTACCGATCTGGGGCACCGCCGAGCCTGGGTCAAAGATCACCGTTGAAGTCGCCGGAGAATCTGGCACCGCCACCGCGGACAAAGATGGCCAGTGGATGATCCGTTTGGAGCCGCTTTCGGCCGGTGGGCCTCACACGCTGCAAGTTGCCGGCGACGGAATGGTCGCTCTTGAGAATGTGCTCGTCGGTGAGGTTTGGGTCTGCTCGGGCCAATCGAACATGGAATGGACGATGAGCCGATCGAACAATGCAGAGTCAGAAATCGCTTCGGCGAATGACTCCAAGCTCCGGCTGCTCGCGGTGGCTCGAAAGCGATCGGACAAAGAAGACACGACATTCGACGGCAAGTGGGAAGTTTGCAGCCCGCGATCGGTCGAGAACTTTTCAGCCGTGGCCTATTTCTTCGGCCGTTTTCTCCGCGAGGAGTTGGATGTACCGGTCGGCCTGGTGAAGAGCGCCTGGGGCGGGACCCCGGCCGAGCATTGGACCCCGAAGTCGTCGTACGACGCCGACCCTACGCTGCTGGAAACCGCCGCCGGGGGCCAGGGCGTGATGAAAGAGCGCAGCTCGCTGTACAACGGGATGATCGCTCCGCTGGTGCCGATGGCCTTCGAAGGAGTGATTTGGTATCAGGGTGAGTCGAACGTGCCCCGGGGGCCATTATACCGTCACCTGTTTTCCTCGATGATCGAAGGTTGGCGGAACGAATGGGACCAGGGTGATTTCCCCTTCCTGTTCGTGCAAATCGCTCCCTACAACTACAAGGGCCATGAAGGCTGCCCGCTAGTCCGTGAAGCTCAGTTGCAAACACTGTCGGTTCCCAAGACGGGCATGGCTGTAACCACCGACATTGGTAACGTCGCCGACATTCACCCAAAGAATAAGCAAGATGTCGGCAAGCGTCTGGGACTTGCAGCTCTGGCGATCGCCTATGGCCAAGACATCCCATTCTCAGGCCCCATCTATAAGTCGATGGACGTGGAAGGAGACAAGGCTATTCTGCACTTCGATCACACCAACGACGGGCTCAAGGCCGAGGGCGGTGACCTGACCAACTTCGAAATCGCCGGGGAGTCGGGCGATTTCGTGCCGGCCCAAGCCGAGATCAAGGGTGACACGGTCGTTGTGCAAAGCGACGAAGTGAAAAAACCTACCGCCGTCCGTTTCGGGTGGAAAGATACGGCCGAGCCGAATCTGTTCAACGGTGCAGGCCTGCCAGCTTCGCCGTTCCGAACGAACGCTCCGAAGAGTTAGGGAGAGTTGACTAGAGTCGCTCAACGCTGAAGCTAGAAACACAGGGAGCACCGATGAATCTTCACCGGTGCTCCCTGTTTGCGTTTATCCGAAGATCTCAACTCAGACCAGCTGTTATTCAACCAGCGAGCGGATCCGGGTGTAGACGGAATTTGAGTGACGTTTCGAGTCGAAGCGATCGAGTAGACCAGCCTTCACCATCTCGGTCCGCATCGAAACACCGTTGCCGTACCCGTTGTAGCTGATGCTTGAACGGGAGAACGGATGGAACGTAAAGATTCCGTCCGACCCTCGGATGCGGCCGTACCAGTCGCGTCGTGCATCGAACTTGTCGATGTCCTGATTAACCGTCTCGTGGCACCGCATGCAAGAGACGCTATCCACGTCGATGAACCCAGCGTCGAACTTGGCCGGGACAATGTGGAACTTGGCCATGGTAGTGGGGGCGACCGCGCGAACCCCGTTGCTACCCCATCGCCAGGTCGTACCTAGCGACGAATGGAACGTGGTGGTGCTGAGCAGTTCGGCCACCAGTGCCTCATCTTCAAGAGCGGGCAACGTGTCGACGCCCATCTTTTGCGAGAAGGTCCGCTCGCCTGGCTGACGGTCGGCCAGGGTCAACTCCTTCAGCTCCATGGGCTGGGTCAAATAGTTACAGAATGAAGCCAGTTTGGCATCGTCCTGCCAGTCGGGACGCAGCTCTTCGATACGTCGAGCAAGATCCGCAGAGGTCGGGAAGGGGCGGAAGACATCCACGGCCCAATCCTTCCCTTCGCGACGGCGTATACGCATCTCGAATGTGTACTGCTTGCCATCTGGCCCCTTCATCGAAAGCACTTCGCCCACGACGGCCCCAACAGGGAAGGTCCAGGCATAGCCCATCACGCCGTCGTTGCTTTGGCGGCGTTTGTACCAAACGATCGGGTGACGACCGCCGTCTTCTTTCTTAGGCAGCCAGATGAAGCGGAACGAGTCGGTACTATGTGTGCGGTGCATTCCGGCAGGAGAAGACCAGGGGAATTCGCGGTTGCCATTCCCAAACGGCTCTCCACCGTCGGCCGAAATGTTGTAGTTCACGCTATGCACGCCTTGGAGTTGACCATCCCAGAACTGGTAGGCCGGCGGCATCTCGGCCTCGGTGTAAAGAATCAACCCCGGGTCGTTGAGCATCGCTTGCACGGTGGGGTCGTCGACCTGAGGCAACCGCTGCCGTAGGGCCGTAATCTTCTTTTCACTCATCAACTGGAAGGGATCTTCTTCGACCACTTCGAACTTCGCGGAGTCCATCGGGTCTTCTGGAATGCGAACCGCGGCCGAGACCATCGCAGTTTGCACAGGCGCTGTTGCCGGCGATGCAGAATACTGACTCGGTAACGTTGAGACCACGGCTTGATGTGGCGTTAGGTTCAACGTGTCTGGGGCCGAAGCTCCGTCGGCCAAAGTGAACGCCAACACAAAAACAATTGGAATCCCCATATTCCTATGCCTCCCTACAATACTGTGCCCGCTTGCCTTTTCCCTACGAGCAGCTGCGATGTCGTTCAGCCAGTTGTTGTGTGCTCCGAGCCACAATCAAACGAGCGAAGATAGAACGACCTTTCCGATTAGCAGACTTGCTCAAAGCAAAGAAGCTATCGATTGACCCCGGGAGCAACTATCCCCCTCGGTGGGGCGAACGTATTAGCCCGACGCCAGAGTGGGGGACCTCGCAGGGGCGCGGCCAGGGGGAGGGATTGGTGAAGCTTACCCAGCTTACACCCGGCCCGTTAGCCGTAAAGCTTGTTCGATCATTAGGTTTGCGAGCCTGAAACAAGCCTAGGAGGGCTGTAGCTCACTATTGAATTCCCCCCACCACCGGTAGACTTTTCGGATGGGGAAATTCTCCAAAAATTAAGTTTTTGCCCCCTGGAATTTATGGGACTGCCGCGCGAAGAATAACTGAGATCGCCCCCGCGCGAGCCTGCCCGCAAAGCCATGTTACAGGAATGAAGTTATTGCGCTGTGGTGTGTAGCCGTTTCACGAACGGATCACACGCCAACCGTCCTCGTCGGTGTCAAGACTGCTCCCCGAGGGCACTCCCCAACTTCAAAGGTTAACAATCGCAATGAAGCGTTCCTTCTTTGTCCGCCACGGATGGAAGATCGTCCTGATCGCCGCCATCGGGTTGCCGGTATTCTTCGGCGGGGCACGTCGTGCCATGCTGAGCAATCGCAACGACGTCAAAGAATGGCTGCCGGCGAACTTTCAAGAAACCAAGGACCTGCAATGGTTCCAGGAACACTTCCCGGGCGAAGAGTTCATCCTGGCCAGTTGGGAAGGCTGCACGCTCGACGACCCTCGTATCGAGCAACTGATTGAAGCTGTCGACGGCGAGGGGGCGAGCACAGCAGAGCTATTCTCTCGCGTGGTTAGTGGCCCCCGCATTCTCGAGCAACTTACAACTCCACCAGTCGAACTGGAGCGAGAAGCCGCAATCGATCGCCTGGTCGGGTCGGTCATTGGGCCCGATCGGGAACACACCTGTGTGGTGTTCACTTTGAGCGAGACGGGTGCTGCAGACCTGAAGGGGTCGGTCGAAGCGATCATCAGTGCGGCGGATCAGACATGCGGCATTTCGTACGACGAACTGCACATGGGCGGCCCTCCGGTCGACAATCGCCACATTGACCACGAAGGCGAACGAATGCTGATCCGCTTGGGCACCTTCGCCGGGCTGATCGGTCTGGTCCTGGCGTGGCGCTGCCTGCGGAGCTTCAAGCTCACGCTGATGGTTTTTGTGATCGCTCTCTACGGCGCAGCGATTAGCCTCGCGTTGATGAAGTTCACCGGTGCTACCGTTAGTGCTGTCGTGCTGACGATGCCGGCCTTGGTTTATGTACTGGGAATCTCGGGCGCGATCCATATTGTGAATTACTATCGTGACGCCTTGGAGCACAGCGATACCACGACGGCACCAACTCTGGCCGTGGCTCACGGTTGGCTCCCCTGCACGATCGCTGCAAGCACCACAGCTATCGGGTTGGGCTCACTGTGCATTAGCGACATTTCTCCGATCAAAACCTTTGGACTTTACTCGGCCCTGGGAGTAATCAGCAGCTTGCTGTTGGTGTTGTTCGTTCTGCCGGCCATGCTGCAACTGTGGCCCGTGGTCACGCCCACGGCGAACCCATCGCTCAGTCCTTCAACAGGACGCCTTCACCGTTTCCGCCAGTGGATGTTCCAAGGGGTGATCAACCACTATCGCATCGTGACTGTAAGTTGCCTCGCCTTGCTGCTGGTCACCGGCTACGGGCTGACGAAGATGAAAACTACGGTAATGCTTACCAAGCTCTTCTCTGAAGACCATCGCATCATCAGCGACTATCGCTTTCTCGAGGAAAACCTGGGTGAGCTGATCCCGATGGAGGTCGTCCTGCGGGTCGACAAAGAGAATTGCTCGCTCACGTTTCTGGAGCGGATGCAGTTAGTCACCGAAATCCGAGAGGAGTTGGAGAAGCTCGAAGACGTGGGCGGCACGCTGGCCACGCCAACGTTCTCACCGGAACTGGAAAGCCTGGCACCGGAACCTCGCCGTCGCCGCGGGGGAATTGGCGGAGCCATGCAGGCCGTCCTGGGACTCAACAACCGTGAACGCATCGAGAACAACATCCGCAACAAACGACTGCTGGAGCATCGCGAGGAGTTCTTGAACGGTGACTTCCTTAGCGAAACTGAGGATGAAGAACTGTGGCGGATCAGTGCTCGCATCGGGGCGTTGAACGACGTGGACTACGGCCTGTTCGTCGATACGATCCACGAGCAAGTCGAACCCGTGTTGGCCGCTCAACGTGCTAACGGAATCGAGGGGCTAGATGTCACGTACACCGGCGTGATCCCGTTGGTTTACAAGAGCCAGCGGACGCTACTGGACAACTTGTTCGAAAGTTTCGGTTCCGCCTTCGGGTTGATCGCCATCGTGATGATGATCGTGCTTCGCAACCCGGTGGCAGGACTGGTGGCGATGATTCCAAACGTTTTCCCCGCTGTTGTGGTATTCGGCGGCATGTGCCTGCTGGGCATGGATATCGACATCGGATCGATGATGTGTGCCAGTGTGGCCTTGGGCGTTGGGGTGGACGACACAATCCATTTCCTCACCTGGTTCCGCCGGGGTCTCGATGCCACGGGTGATCGCTGCAAGGCAATCATGCTCGCCTACGAACGCTGTGCTACCCCCATGACGCAGACCACAATCATCAGTGGCCTAGGGCTTTCGGTATTCGCGTTGAGCACCTTCATGCCAACCCAGCGGTTCGGCTACCTGATGGTCACGTTACTTACCGCAGCCCTGATAGGCGACTTGTTGCTTCTGCCCGCCATGCTCGCTGGCACCCTGGGTCGGCTGTTTGATCGCAAGGGCAAAAAGCAAGAGGCGGCCGACACCGCGGCGAAGGCCGAGTTGCTCGAAGGAAAGGGTCCCACGCCGGCTGCACAAGGGGCTACTGGCAAACCACGCAAAGATGATTCGCGCGAGACCGTCTTGCACTAAGAGTGCCCGCCGCTTTGACTACTCAGGCGGCGGGGATCAAGGGATCGATTAGATTCGTCGGGCCAAGAGCCTACCCAACGCGATTGAAACCGAAATCGAAGCTGTAGCTCCACAGTTCAAGAAGCAAGAGCAACACGGCGAGCATGACGGCGCCCAGCGAAATCGAAAGCAACACCGTGTAGAGATTCCACGGGCTGACCTTCGGTTGCTTCACCTTTTCTTCTTTGACTTCCTCTTTGGCTTCCGGCTCTGCGGCTACTGGTTCTTCGAAATCGGACGAGGAATCCGCCGAGAAATCTTCGGAAAAAGCTTCGTCAGAGAAGGAGTCATCCGACATGAGGTCGTCAGACATCAGTTCTTCAGAGCTTGCATCATCTGCCATCGCTGGTCGCCTTCGGTTCCAAGAATCATTACCACTGTATCCATCATAGTTGCCCAGCCGAGCAAGTCGACGATTCCAGGGCCGAATTCCCAATACTGCCGCTGGCCGCAAAACCCCATTAACCGGAAGAAAATGCACCTGCGTGGAAGACTCTAGGCACCCTAGGAAGTGACCAACGAGTGGCGGCTCGGGGCTACTTATCGAGCAAAATTCTCGCGGCGCGATCGTTGATGCGGTGTAACTTGTCGCCCAAACCGGCCGCCAGATTGCGGTAGATCACCATCCCGATATCCGGTCGGCGGCGAATCAATCGCATCAAATCGCGACGAGGCATGGCGGCCACTTCAAGTTCAGAAGTCGCCGAAACGGTGGCCGTATGATCCACCTCGTGCAGCAGGGATATCTCCCCGATGCATTCCCCCGTGTGCACCGTCGCAATCGGCTCATTCGACTTAGGAATATTAACTTCAGCCGTGCCCTGCTTGACGAGATACACGTGATTCGCTGCTTGCCCGGCGGCGTAGACCGTATCGCCGGCGGCGTACTGCCTCAACTGACAAATCGATGCCAAGCGAACCCCTTGCTCTTCGTTAAGGCCGGCAAAGAGCCGCATGGTGGGAATCATTTCCGCCACCTGAGGAAGTACTTCCTGTCGGCCAATATCGCGCTGCACCAGGGTTGCGAACGGGGCAACACTCTCAACTAGCGAGGTCTTACTGATATCAAAGGGGGCGAATAGATAGACCATTTTCACCACATCCAATCGCTCGACATGGTGAAACACCATCGCCGGCACATACGCAGCCGGCACGAAGCCTAACTCGAGCAGGGTGCGTTGCATGCGGGGAACACAAGCGTTGACATCAACCTCAACGTAATCGATGTCTTCAGCCTCACGACAGCGATCGATCAGCGTCCTCAACAAGAACCGCACCGGGCGTTCCGCTAACGATACAAGCTCAAAGATTCTTACCGCCTTTTCGACTTCGTCTACGGTATACCCGATGGCACCCACCGTATGGCCATTTTCTCGAGCGAGGAGATAGTTGGAATGTTTCGCCCGCAGCTTGAACATTCCATAGTGCAAACTGACCGGGCCAACGATCTCTCGATGGCGCACCCTGCCGCGCTCGAACCGCAGCAGGGTTGAATACCCTTGCGAGGTCATCTCATCGATTTGATATTCGTGCTCGGGGTAGGGAGGCGAAGTGACATCGACCACGCAGTCGTTCGTCAGCCCTACATTTTCCAGTGCCATCTCGGCAACCGAGTACACCTCGGGGATCACACGTGGATGGTTGCGCCGCAAGGTAAGCCCGTCGCCGAAGTAGCGGGCAAATAATGCGAGACTCTCTCGTTCGGCGACACGAAGCTTCAGTGGAAGAAACCCCACGGGCACGAATCCGTGCGCCTGCGATATCTTTTGCGAATATGGATGCGATGCTCTGGCTTCGACCAATCCCAAATGCAATCGCTCACCAACGCGATCGATTCGCCCCTGCATCAGCAGATGGCCAATTCCCTGTCGCCTGGCATCTGGGTGAACCGCAAGACGTCCGAACTCTCCGACGAGATCGGTGAATGCCCCAATTTCGACGATGACCGAGGCTGTTCCGACGACTCTCTGCTGTTCGGTGTCCTCGGCGACGAGCAGAATGGTGTCGTCGGAGTAGACCATCTTCTTCAGATATTGCTCGTCGTAGTACTGCGGATATGCGTAGTCTTTGCCATAGGTGGCGGAATAGATCTCGCGAATCTGGCCAACATCGTGTTCGTTTGCAGGGCGTATGTCGATCATGGTTTTCCCCCTGCCGCCGGGCTAAAGACTATGCTTCTCGGCCAAGTGCCGGCCGGCCGAGAGCGCGAGCGAATGATAATACGCGGCCCCAATCCCCAAGGCCTGCTCGTTGAAGTCGAACTTGCTTGAATGTGCCGGGTAATTGTCTCGATCTTCAAACCGAGCCCCAATGCGGACATAGCAGCCGGGAACATGTTCCAAGTAACGGCCGAAATCCTCGCCGCCCATGTTGGCCGTAGGCATTGGAATGACGTGTTCCTCTGCAACGACGCGGCGGGCTGCCAATCTGGCCAAGTCCGCGATCTCCGGCGGATTAATCACCGGGGGAGTCCCCTCGTCAATGGTTACTTCCATACGTGCACCGTGCAGTTGTCCCACTGAAGCGGCGATGCGTTGCAGTGATTGCTGTAGGTGAACGCGAACCTCCTGGTCTTGCGACCTGATTGTCCCCGTTAGTTGAGCCGCACCCGCAATGACATTGGAGGCCGTACCAGCGTTGAATCGGCCCACTGAAATGACCGAAGGATGGGCCGGATTGATCTCCCGCGAAACGATCGTCTGGATTGCCATCACGAGAAGGCTGCCGACGACAACGGCGTCAATCGTTTCGTGCGGACGTGCCCCGTGGCCGCCTTGGCCTGCGATGTCGATCTGGAAGCGATCGCTGGAAGCATTGACCGCGCCGTCGGTGATAACGATATCGCCAGTGGGGTAGTGGCGATCTAAATGGCCGCCGAAGATCAACCCAACATCTTCCAGGGCTCCTTCGGCGATCATCGCGGTCGCACCATCACCCGTCTCTTCGGCAGGCTGAAAGAGGAGCCTCACCGACGCAGGCAAGTTCGCCTCGGCCACAATGCACTCGGCCGCCCCAAGCAGCATACTGGTGTGCCCGTCGTGCCCGCAGGCATGCATCACCCCGTCGGAAGATGAAGTGAACGGCAGTCCGGTCTCCTCTTGAATGGGCAACGCATCGATGTCAGCCCTGAGAGCGATCTTGGGCAGCTGCGGGTTCCGGCCGGGGATCTCGGCCACTACACCGTTGCCAGCGACACCTTTGCGGTACTGAATCCCCAGCCGATCCAGGTGTTTGCAGATTTGATCGAGTGTCCGCGATTCGCGCCGACTCAGCTCAGGGTGCTGATGGAGGTCGCGGCGAATCGAGACCATCTGCTCGAACACTTCTGAGGGTACTGTCGACATGTTGCAACCCTCCTAAACAAGTAACTAATGCAACCGCCTCAGCAAACACCTGTGCTGCATCTTACTCTTCCGGCGCACCTTCAGAGAACGCACGAAGGATATCCATGGTGGAAAGCACTCCAAGCACATGGTTTGAGCCGTCGACGACCGCCAGGCGGTGAATACGGTTGCGAACCATCAACGAAGCCGCCTTGGCCAGGGTGTCCTCAGGACCAATGTTGACGACCTGCTCGGTCATCAAGTCTTGCACCGGCTCGGTGAGGAGATCGCTTTCCGAAAGATGCTCGACCAGCAAATCTTTGGCGAGCCCACCTGTATGCGACAGCTCGTTAAGTTCGTCACCCAAGTCTTTAGTCAGCCCGAGAAGGTCGGAGGCAGAAATTACGCCTAGGCAGCGATCGCGGCTGTCGGTAACCGGCAATGCCGAGACTTTATTCTCGACCATCAGAGTGAGGGCTTCACTCAATGTGTCGGTGGGACTCACAGCGACCACATCGCTAACCATTGCCTGTTTGACTCGTTGGCCATAAACACCATCAGTTGCTTGAGCACCCATCGTCGCACCTCCAAAAGCTGAAGTCTCCTAGATCTCGCTCACCACTCCACGGTGATATTGCTTCAGGCTGTTTGCCTGACATAACCCAGCAAGCAACAGCGATGCCGGTTGCGAAAAATCTGTTAAGACGCCAAGAATGGTGCCAATTCCGACCCAACGCAGAAGGGTTTGCGCCCGAAATCGGACTCCATCGAGCGAAAGAGCACACTCAAATTAGGAGCCCTATGGCTTACGCAGTGAGTTCACGTTTGGGCCACACGAGCTTCGAAATCTCGAGCACGTAAAACACAAGCGAACTCAGCGCGAGAGCGATCAAGAAATCGACCAGAGATAGGGCGGTGGTTCGCATCACATCTTGGGCCAATGGGAGATAAATCACAATCAATTGCAGTATGAAGGTGAGTAGCACGGAGGCCACTAGCGGCTTATTCGAAAGTATTCCCAACCGCAGCACGGTGTCGCGATCAGAGCGAATCGCCAACACATGCCCCATTTGCGAGAAGGTGAGGACCGTGAAGACCATGGTCCGCCAGTAGGGGGTGTTCTCCGAATTGGCCGCCCAATACCAGTAGCCCGTGCCCAATGACACGACTCCCATGAGCAGTCCCACCCAGAGGATGTGTGAGGCCATCCCCCGCGAGAACATCGACTCGTCGGGAGGATACGGCGGCCGCCGCATGGCGTTTCGTTCGGTCGGCTCCACGGCCAGGGCCAAGCCCGGCAGGCCGTCGGTCACGAGATTTACCCATAAAATTTGCAGCGGCAGCAGCGGCAGTGGCATTCCAATGAATGGGGCCAGCAACATGACCCAGATTTCGCCCGAGTTGCTGGTCATGGTGTACTTGATGAACTTACGAATGTTGTCGTAGATGGTCCGGCCTTCTTCGACCGCATTGACGATGGTGGCGAAGTTGTCATCGAGAAGTACCATTTCGCCGGCCTCCTTTGCGACATCGGTCCCCGTGATGCCCATCGCCACGCCGATACTGGCCTTCTTTAAAGCGGGTGCGTCGTTGACTCCATCACCCGTCATCGAGACAACTTCGCCCTGTGACTGCAACGCTTCGACAATCCTCAACTTGTGCTCTGGAGCGACACGCGCGAATACAGAAACCTGCTGAACCGCGTCCGCGAACTGAGTTTCGTCCATCTCCGAGAGTTCGCGACCAGTCAGGCTTCCTCCGTCGCTGGCGATTCCCACTTGCCCGGCGATATTTAAGGCGGTTAGCGGATGATCTCCCGTGATCATCACGGGCCGGATCCCTGCGGCCCGACAGCGTTCGACAGCAACGCTTGCTTCGCTCCGCGGCGGGTCGATCAGAGCCACCAGGCCCAGCAGGACGAGGTTGCTTTCCAGAGTTTCCGCTTCACTGTCGGCTGTCACGTCTTTTCCGTGACGAAAGCCTTGCGCCAATACCCGCATTCCTTCGCCGGCGAGTTCGTCGTGAAGTTCGTCGACTCGGCGCCGCGTGTCATCGTCGAGCGATTGGAGCTGTCCGTCGCGATACACTTGGGTGCACAACGGTAGTAACGAATCGACGGCCCCCTTGGTGAAGGTGATGTGACTCGACCCTGCTAAATCGGGGATGTCGTTGAATGCTTGTGCCAGTGACCCAGAGAGCCCCGACTGTTCCTGAGGCAGTTCGTGGACGGTGGTCATCCGTTTGCGGTCGGAATCGAACGGCACTTCGGCCACTCGTGGGAGGGCTCGATCGAGGTCGGCTTTCGGCATTCCATGCTTTGCGGCAGCAACCACTAAAGCGGTCTCCGTTGGATCGCCTGTCGCATGGAGCGACTCTTCGTCGTCATCCTCGCCCTCGAGCGAAGCGTCGTTACACAGGGCCCCGCAGGCCAGCATGAGCGTGGCCGCAGCGTCATCCCTGGGGTCGCTTTCTTGCTCTGCTCCGAATTCGAAACGCTGGTCGAGAGTCCGCAGCAGGGCGACATGCATGCGATTTTCGGTCAGCGTTCCGGTCTTGTCGGAACAAATCACCGTAACCGAGCCCAAGGTTTCCACGGCAGGCAGTTTGCGAATCAGTGCCTGACGCTTCAACATCCGACGTGCGCCTAATGCCAGGGCCACGGTCGCCACGGCCGGAAGCCCTTCGGGCACAGCCGCTACGGCCATACTGAGCGCCGTCATGAACATCAGCTTGGGGCTTTCATCTCGCAGCAGTCCCATAACGAACACGATGGCCACGATGATCAATGCAGCGACGGCAAGCTGACGCCCCAGCTTCGCCAGTCGCCTCTGCAGCGGGGTGGGCTCTCGCTTCACCGTCTGCAGCATGGTGGCGATCTGTCCTAGGGCCGTCTCCATGCCAATCGCGGTTACTATCATCTCGCCCCGGCCGTAGGTGGCCACGGTGCCCATGAACAGTATGTTGTGCTGGTCGCCCAGGGCAGGGTCGTCTGCCTCCAGCGTGTCTGTTTGCTTTTCGACTGGCTCCGACTCGCCCGTCAAGGCGGCTTCCTCGGCTTTGAGATTCGCACTATCGACAATTCGCCCATCCGCAGGGATGGAAGTGCCGGCCTCAACATAGACCAGATCGCCCGGCACCAGCTCACGGGCAGACAGCTCGCCGATCGTGCCATCGCGTCGGACCCGAACAGTGGGCACAGCCATACGCTGCAGGGCCGCCATCGCCTTTTCGGCCCGATAATCTTGAACGAACCCCAGGATGGCATTCAGCACGACTATGGTGAGAATTGCCCCAGCGTCGATGTACTCCCCCAGAAACAGCGACACCACCGCTGCGATTATGAGCATGACCACCAGGGTGCCGGTGAATTGCTCCACGACGATCGACCAGACCCCACGGGCGGAACGCTCTTCGAGTTGATTGGGGCCGTGTTCCTTACGACGAAGGGCGGCATCTTCGGTACTCAGACCCCGGTCCAAGTCGCAGTTGAGCTGCTTTAGAACCTCCGGCACATCCAACTTGTACCAGTGAGTCAAGGGGGAGCACTCCTATGGGTCAGGCAGGGGGGATGTAACATCCATATGGTTTCAACGTCGGAGACGTACCGCTGGCTGTCAAGTCGCTTCCAGCACGGCAACGCTGTAAATGCGAAAGAGCCACCGCCTTTAGGTAGGCGATGGCTCTCCGTTCGTGTCCATTGCTCGCTCAGACGGATTGAACCTTAGACCTGATAGTGTCGAGCGATCAGATCGTTTTGGATCCACAGCAGCTTATTAAACGCACGAATGGTCTTGGCCTCGGTGATTGCATCGAGTCCTAAGCTCTGAATTGTGCCGATGATGGCGTCGGAGACAAATCCCATCAGGGCGTTCATCTGAATCAAAGGCACTTCAAGCTGCGGGCTGCCGGCCTTGGGCGTGTGGATTGCTCCGACGGCATCGAGGTAAGTTACGAACTTGGCATCAAAATCGCGTGTAACCAGGCTCACCAGGTACCGCGAAAGGTGCTCTTTGCGGAATTCAACCTGAGCGTCTTCCAGCGACAAGGCTTCCAGGTCGTTCGCCAAGGCCCCTTGATAGCCGCTGTTGCGAATGAGGAAGTGTCGCTTAGTGGCATCGCGGCTGAAAAGTTTTTCATAAACCGCATCGACGAGGGCGGGAACCACCGGTGCCAGCAATTCCGCCGAGGCATGAATCGCTGCAATATCTTCCTCTGAAAAGCCGATGAATTCGACCAGGTATTGGAACCGGTACTGCAGATCGGTCTCCAATCGCTGTTCATCGATGGATTGGATGCCACTTTCACTCGATATCGTTTGGCTCATATTCGCTTGACCCCCACGTATAATTGGCACGTTCTCAACGACTTCGCCCCGAGATGCTGAATCGAGGCCGCATCATCGTTCCCACTGAAAGAGTTCACGCCCCGCGCGTACTCCTGTGAAAACGTAGCTCAGTCCCTTGGACTTAATTCCGGATCGTGCCCAGGCGGGCATCCGACGCCAGGCATCTGTGACCCACTGTCTCACACTCTCCAAACCTGGTTTCGGGCCGATTCTCCGAATTACAGCGATGGCAGCACGTTATGAAGGCAGTTCTAGTTAACGCGTTTAGGGCATGCGGATTGCACCTAAATGAAAAGTAGAAGCAACACTTATTTGTCAGCATTTCTCGAGTTAGTTTCAGGAAATCAGGGAGAAGCTCAGATGGTGATGTCCCCCGGAACGGGAAGAGTCGAATCCAGTCACGTAACTCCAACGGCTTGGCCCTCGGAGCCAAGAGGAGGACGAACGATGGTTACCTCATCGATCAGATTCGACGATGCAGCTTCGCCCCTGGCAACGCTAAGGAACGAGACCGACCAACGCCTGGAGCGCGAAGTCACTAAGCGACTGAAGAGCAGCGGATATTCTTCGCTGGCTTCGCTCGAGTGCGATGTTGAGCACGGCACGCTCACACTCTACGGCACCGTGCCGACCTACTACCTCAAGCAGTTGGCTCAGCACTACGCCGGCAAGGCCGACGAGATCAAGATGATCCAAAACCACGTCGCGGTGGTCCAGAATTAGTGCAGGGCTGAGAGGAGCCAAGCAGATTTCTCCTCTTAATGGCACTTTCATAAAACGCCTGCACGAGGGCGTGACCACCGGGTCTGCGGCCCTATAGCAGGTGGCAACGCGCCACCCGGCACACCTCCCCACCTTCAAGGTGTGCGGCCCAGGCTCAGTTGAGCGAATTGTCTCGTTTCTTTAAGAATTCCCGTTCTACGGGCAATTTTTTTCAGAGTCTCTTCTCTGCTTCTCGATGAAACACTGTCCCTTCCTGGTGGGTAGAAGCCAATACACAGGTAAGAGACCGTCCATCCGCGGACGATCCTCAAGGAACAGCTCGAGAAACTCAGATTTTTCCTAAGGACAGGTGAACGATGCAAAGGGCTTGCACAATCGCGGCTTGCGTCTTTTCGCTCGCTGCGTGCACATTCTCCACAAACGCATGGGCCGCTGAAAAGACGGCAGAGAAACCAGACTCGCGTGTCGGTCAAAAGATCTCGGATTTCACGCTGCGTGACTATCGCGGGCTCGAACACCAGCTTTCGGATTACTCCGACAGCGAAGTGGTCGTCGTTATCTTCCTGGGTACCGATTGCCCCATGGTCAAGCTGTATGGCCCTCGACTGAACGAGTTGGCCGAACAGTACGGCCCCGAGGGTGTCACCTTCCTGGGGATCAACTCCAACCGGCAAGACCAGCCCACCAAGATCGGTGCCTGGGCCCAACGCCATGGGGTCGAGTTCACCATTCTGAAAGATCCTAGCAATCAAGTCGCCGACCAATTTCGAGCGATTCGCACCCCCGAGGTGTTCATCCTTGATAAAGATCGCGTGGTTCGCTACTGGGGCCGCATCGACGATCAATACAGTTTCTCCACCGGCGTTGGCTACGGTAAGCCCAAGGTCACCCGTCACGACCTGGTAGAAGCCGTCGACGAATTGCTGGCTGGGAAAGAAGTCAGCATGCCGGTTACTGAAGCCAAAGGATGCCATATCGGTCGTGTGCCGAAGGTTGATCCGCACGGTGATGTGACCTACTCGAACCAAATCGCTCGCATCTTCCAGTCCTCGTGTGTGGAATGCCATCGCGATGGTCAAATCGCTCCGTTCCCGTTGACCAGCTACGAAGAGTCGGTCGGTTGGGCGGAAATGATTCGCGAAGTGGTTCATGAAGAACGCATGCCGCCCTGGAGCGCCAGCCCCAAGCATGGTGAGTTTGCGAACGACCCGCGACTGAGCGACGAAGAGAAGCACCTCATCGACGAATGGGTTGCCAACGGCATGCCCGAGGGCGACCCCGCTGAGTTGCCCGAGCCTCGTCAGTTTGCCGAAGGTTGGGGCATCCCTGAACCCGACGCCGTGTTCTACATGGCCGATGAAGCTTTTGAAGTTCCTGCCGAAGGTGTGGTCGACTACCAATACTTCACGGTTGATCCCGGCTTCACTGAAGACAAATGGGTCCGGGCGTTCGAAGCCAAGCCCGGCAACCTCTCGGTTGTTCATCACATCATCTGCTTCATCCAAGATCCCAAATCGCAAGGTCGTGGATTACGTGAAGGCAGTGGAGCTCAGGTGGGTTACGCTCCGGGTTCGCCTCCGCGGGTCTATCCCGAAGGCGTAGCCATGCGAATCCCCGCTGGCTCGAAGCTCGTCTTCCAAATGCACTACACGCCGGTCGGCACTCCTCAGCTAGACCGTAGCTGCATAGGCCTGGTGTTCGAAGACCCGAAGAAAGTAACGCACGAAGTGGAAGGCAAGGTCTGCGGCACGGTCGCCTTCGCCATCCCGCCGAACGAATCGGACCATGTGGTTCACTGCAAGACTCGGATGCGTGAGGACACCACGCTGATCAGTATGCTCCCTCACATGCACTTGCGTGGCACGGCCTTCAAGTACGAAGCCGAGTATCCGGACGGATCCTGGGAAGTGTTGCTCGACGTGCCACAGTACGACTTCAACTGGCAATTGTGGTACGACGTGATGGAGCCGAAGGTGTTGCCCAAGGGCACCAGACTGCACTGCACGGCCCACTACGACAACTCGATCGACAACGTCTACAACCCCGATCCTGACGACACCGTCCGCTTTGGCGACCAAACCTGGGAAGAGATGATGTTCGGGTTCTACACGGCCATCAAACCCGTGAAGCGGGCTCAGGAAAGTGTTGCAAGCCGACCGGAATAGCTTCGCCTGTTAAGGTTTTGAAGATCGCTTTCACCGGCTCGCGAGGCCTGGGCTTCGCGGGCCGGTTTTTCGTTTAAGGCAAGCGACATCTCCTGAACAAGTGCAGAAACAAGAACCACAGCCGGCAAGGTCGGCCTCGCTTTCGCACCTTGGCCGGCTGAATACCGCTTATTGCATTTTCAGCTACCACTCGAATATGCTGGTAGCATGGTTCGCGATTGCTCTTGGTGGCTAACTCGTGAATCGAGGCTGTGCCGGTTGCTCATCCTCGTGGGTTTTTAGGATGGGGGTGCCGGAAAGCAGAGATGGCCCTGCCGGGCTTCCTACCGCAACCAAATGTTCAAACCGAATTGGCTGGGCCGCAGCGGCTTTGCCATTTCGATGCGGACATCCCGCCTTTTAAGACAAGACATCGATACGATTTCCTTGCAGCGAAACATGTCTCGGCGATGAGTCGTTCGAGCGTGATTTCGCCGCATCAGTTTCTTAGTGTGGTGTTGGCAAGATCGATCGCACCAACCCACGCTGGAGGATCGACATGGATCGGCGTGTTTGGCTCCAGTGGATGAGCCGCCTGTTAGGCCTGGCTTGTGCAGCCGTGGTTGTGGTGCCCGGCGTGCGATACATCATCGATCCACTACGGCGAAAGTCGGCCGAGGCCCACGACTTCAAACGCTTGGCCCTGCTGGAAGATCTCCCGGTCGACGTACCCAAGAACTTGCCGGTGATGGGGAGTTTGCAAGACGCCTGGACGCACTACGACGAAGCCAGAATTGGCGACACGTGGCTCGTTCGTCGTAGCGGCACGGACGTTCCGCCTGAGGAAGCCAAGGTCGAAGCCTTCAATACCATCTGTCCTCACCTGGGCTGCAACATCCAGGCTGGTGCCGGCGACAATGCGTTTGTCTGCCCCTGCCACAACGCCAAGTTCAAATTGGATGGTGCCCCCATTCGCGAGAAGGGTTATGCGAACCCCGCTCCTCGTGGGATGGACTCACTGGAGTGCCGGGTAGTTCAAGACGAAGCCAGCGGCCAATGGTGGGTTGAAGTCAAGTTCGAGAACTTCGTCATCGGATCGTCGACCAAAGTCCCCAAAGCATAGAGCGCGATTGTGACCACGACCGCCCCACAACCACAATCCGACACCGCCGGACAAACACAGCAGGACCAATCAAGGAGAGCCAGGGTGATCGGTCGCAGTTTCGATTGGCTGGATAACCGCACAGGTTACCGCAAGTTGGTGGCCCCCATTCGGCGACGCATTCTCCCTGGCGGCCCCAGTTGGTCGCGTACCACAGGTTCTTGCTTGTTGTGGTTGTTGTTAGTCGAGGTTGTGACAGGCCTGCTGTTGATGTTCACTTATAGCCCATCGGCCACCAGTGCCTGGGCCAGCGTGCATTACATCGAGAGCATCCCCGGAGGAAGCTTCATCCGCGGCCTGCATTACTTCACCTCGCAAGCCCTGCTGATTGTGTTCGCCATCCACACGATTCGCACCTTGGTCGTGGGGGCATTTCGGGCTCCGCGCGAATTGATTTGGGCCACGGGCCTGCTAATGATTCCGATCGTGCTCACTTGGGCCATCACCGGAAACCCGTTACCTGCCAGTGAGAAGAGTTACGCCCAGATCGAAGTTGAAAGCAAAATCATCGGGTCGTCGCCCGTCGTAGGGCCCGTACTACAGCGCATTTTGATTGGCGGCGACCGGGTGGGGAACCTGACCCTTACGCACCTCAACTTCTTGCATGTGGCACTGCTTCCCTTAATCGCCGGGGTGGTGCTGGCTATTCACATCAGCCAGATCTACGTACATGGGTTGCCCCAAGATGGCGTATGGCCGATCTCTGGGCGATCGCGACCCTACTTCCCCTACCAGACCATCCGCAACCTGACGGTGTTCTCCGTCGTACTGGGAGTAATTGCGTTCTTGTCGTGGAACAACGGGGCTCCGCTCGATGCACCGGCAGGGGCAGGCGAAGGTCCTTCACCGCGGCCGGAATGGTATTTTCTCTTCTTGTTCGAGCTACGCGCCTATTTCACGGGCGAATATGAGTTCATTGCCACGGCAGTCATCCCGGCGGTGGTGCTCATTTTGCTTCTGGCGATTCCATTCATCGATCATGTGTTGCCGAGTAAGGCTAGCCGGGTGTTTCGCTACTCTCTGGCCGGTCTCGGCATCGCAGCGTGGGCGGGTCTCACGTGGGCTTCGGTTTCCCGCGATCTTAACGACGCTGAGTACCAACAAGCCAAGGTCGATGCGCACAAAGTATCTGTTCGAGCTCGTGAATTAGCCGATGCCAACCTCATACCCCCGGGCGGAGCGAGCTTGCTGCTGGAGATGGATCCCAAAATCCAGGGTCCGCGTCTGTTCGCAGAACAGTGCGCCCTGTGCCACCGGCACGACGACGTCGCTGTGGAGGTCGATCCGCACAATGATGCAGTTCAACCCGCCTCTGCACCAAACTTGACAGGATTCGCCAGTCGTAAATGGTTAGCTGGATTTCTCGATCCTGAACAAATCGATGGCCCCCGGTATTTCGGCACCTGCAAGTTCGGAGACCCCGACGAAGGGCAGATGGTCTCCGCACTGCAAGACCTCTTCGCCGATCTCGACGAAGAGGAGTTAGCCGAAGTGAGCCGCAAACGTGACTTGATCGTGTTGGCCCTTTCGGCCCAAGCTCAACTTCCCGGCCAACAAGAGGCCGACAAGCAAGACGCTGCAAAGATCGCTGAAGGGGTGGCTTTGCTGAACGATGGCGAATTAGGTTGCACAGACTGTCACATGTTCCACGACTCTGGCGAGCCCGGCATGGCCCCCGACCTGACGGGGTATGGATCGAAAGAATGGATCACGAACTTCGTCTGTAATCCGTCCGACGACCGGTTCTACGGTGAGAATAACGACCGCATGCCGTCGTTCGCTCCTGCTGGCAGTGAACCGGCCATTCTCACGCCTGACGAAATCTCGGTACTCGTCGATTGGCTCCGCGGCGATTGGTACGAGCCAGGCGATGCGGCCACCAGCCCACAGGCTGCCGCCGAATAGTGCGATTGACCAGGGCAGTCGCCTCGCGCGGGAGTCGTTGCAACGCCGCGCTCATCCCTTTATGCTCACGGCGAACAAGCCTGAGACTCTGGTGAGGGGACGAGATTCATGAGCGAACTAGAAACGCTGCTGCTGGACATCGACGACCACGGGATCGCACGGGTAACGCTTAACCGCCCCGAGGCCCGCAATGCCATGTCGCAGGAGCTGATTGAAGAACTACGCGACGTCGCCGGCAAACTGGCCAAAGACGACGCGGTGCGATGTATCGTGCTCTCAGGCAGTGGTGAAATCTTTTGCGCCGGTGGTGACCTCAAGGGCATGGCGGTGCAAGCCGCAGCGACGCGAGAGGACCGCATCCGAGACGCGACGGCGCTGGCCAGACTACTGGGCGAACTGAACACGTTGCCCAAACCGATCATCGGTCGAATCAATGGCCCGGCCTTCGGTGGAGGGCTAGGGTTGATCTCCATCTGCGATATCGCCATCGGGCTTACCACTTCCAAGTTCTGCCTGACCGAGGTCCGTTTGGGCCTGCTACCGGCGACCATCTCGCCCTATGTCGTCGCCCGCCTAGGCACACGAAACGCCCGTCGTGTGATGCTGAATGCTACGGAAATGGATGGAACAACAGCCGTGCAAATGGGGCTGCTAGACAGGGCAGTGGAGCCGGAGCAACTCGATGCGGCCATCGATCAGGAAATTGCGGCCCTCTTGCGTTGTGCCCCCAGTGCTGTGGCGGCCTCCAAACGGCTGATCCAATACGTCAGCACCCACGACGTGGAAGCCAACGTTGAATACACGGCCGCCGCATTGGCCGACGCCTGGGAATCGCCTGAGATCCAAGAAGGCATCGACAGCTTCATGAACAAGCGGAAGCCGAAGTGGTTCTCAGCCTATCCGTCGTAGTGCTCTTGGCTCGCCGGTGTTAGGCGATGTCGTCTAGCAGCGATTCGGGGATGTCGACGAGACGTGCCCGCAGATACTCGCCGAGGCCCTTGGCTTGTGCGTCGAAACGGGGCGAGGAAGATACCCCTTCGCCCAACAGCCCGACCACGACAAAGTTCAAGGCGTTCAGCCGGGGGAACTCGAATCGCCGCAAGTCCATTTCGGCCGCCTCAGGCAACAGCTCGCGAAAGCGGTCAATCGTCAGATACGAGGAAAGCCAGGCGTAGCCCTCGGAGGTTTTAGCCCACAGGCCGATGTTGCCGTTGCCGCCCTTGTCGCCCGAGCGAGCCCCAATGATGGTACCCAGGGGCACTCTTTTCGTCGGCCCGGAGGGAGCCTCAACCGCCGGAAGTGGACTGATGTCGGCCTCCTGCTTACGTCCACGGGGGGCGTCTTGGCTCAGCTCAAGACGGGTACCGTCGGCGAGGACCACCTCTTGCTTCACTACGTCGGCTGGCACAAGCGTGGGCCAATAGACGCCGTACGGAGTTCCATCAGCCGGCGGGGCGGTCATGAACAGCCCTGGGTAGCTGGCCAGGGCCATCTCGACGATACCGCTGGAGAACTTGCGGCCAACTTCCTGAGGATTGCTGCTCTTGGCCGTCACCCGCAGCAGCGAGCAAGCCTCGCCGTTGGACTCCGGGTCTTCAGTGGTGTTTCGCACCAGGTCGAACTCCAGCGAATCGAAATCCTTGCCGCCATCGAAAGTCTTCAGAAGGGTTCGCTTCACCAAGTCGGCCTTTTCGTCGATATCGAGCCCGGTCAGCACCAGCGTCATGCTGTTGCGGAAGCCCCCCAGGTAATTGATGCAAACCTTGAGTTGTTCTGGCGCCGGCTCGCCCTTCATACCAGAAACCTTCACCCGATCGGGGCCGACATCTTCCAGCTCGATGCTGTCGAACCGCGAGATCACATCCGCATTCGCGTAGCTGGGTGAATCGATCTCGTACAGCAATTGAGCGGTGACGGTTCCGACGGAGACGAGGCCGCCTGTGTTGGGATGCTTGGTAATGACCGCACTCCCGTCCGCATGCATCTCGGCGATCGGGAAGCCAGGATACTCGAGGCCGGGCACCTCGTTGAAAAATGCGTAATTCCCACCGGTGGTTTGGGTGCCACATTCGAGAATGTGCCCTACGACAACCGCGCCGGATAGCGCGTCCCAATCGTCGGGCTTCCAACCGTAGTGCCACGCCGCGGGGCCAACGACTAGGGAGGCGTCGGTCACCCGAGGGCAGATCACTATGTCGGCCTTTTGATTGAGTGCTTCTACAATGCCCCAGGCGCCAAGATAAGCGTTGGCACTCAGCGGCATGGCCTGCAGTTCCGACAACGGCTGGTTCGTATCGAGATGCCGCAGTTCGTTGCCGGCCTTTTGCAGGTCTTCAAGTTGCGGCAGCAGATCGTCGCCTTCGATATGGGCGATGTTGGCCTTCAGCCCCAGCTTTTCGCATAGCTCGCGTAGTTCGACGGCTAATCCTCCGGGATTCAGACCACCAGCGTTGCTGACGATTTTCACGCCTTTGTCGAGTGCAGGCCCCAGCACTTGCTCCATCTGTCGCAGGAACGTGGTGGCAAACCCCCGGCGATCGTCTTTCTGCTTCAGCTTCCACAGAATGAGCATCGTCAGCTCGGCCAGGTAGTCGCCAGTGAGGAAGTCGATCGGGCCGCCTTCGATCATTTCCTTGGCGGCGGCAATGCGGTCGCCGTAGAAGCCCGAGCAGTTTGCGATACGAAGCGGTTGTGGATTCTCAGCCATGACTATTTCCCTGCAATATCAGACAAGCGGGTGAATAAGATTTCCCGCGATCAATGTTTTAGCGGTCCTGGTGCTGCAATCAGGCGTCAGCTTCGCCGCTGTCGATCACGACCAGCACGGCCCCGGCATCGACATGACTGGCCGACTCGACGCGAATTTCGGTCACGCTGCCGTCCACCGGGGCATTCACATCGTGCAGCATCTTCATCGACTCGATCACCACCAGCACATCGCCCGCGGTCACCGTGTCGCCGACCGCGATCTTCACCTCGTTCACCACGCCGGGCAAGGGGGCGACGAGCGAACCGCTCTTCAGCTTGTCTTCCGGCAACGGGAAACGCGGCAATTCTTGCAGTTCGGAAGCCCCCAATGGGCTGTCGACAAAGAACATATCGCCGTCGCAGCGAACCTCGAAGCGGTGCTGGACTCCGTCGACAGCGAGCACGACTTCATCGGGCGTGCAACTCGTCAACACGAGCGACGACAACGACTCGCCGTCGACTTCGACCTGCAATGTGTTGCGTTGCCAAGCATAGCCCACGGCCAGTTCGCGATCGCCCACGGCAAACTTCACCTGCTGCAGTTGCGAGCGGTTGTTTCGCCACCCCGAGGGGATGCCGGGAAGGTGCTTGCGATTCTCAACTCGTCCAGCCTGGCCCGCTAGTGCGGCCGCCACAGCGTGCAGGCTTTCGGCCGTTTCATCGGTTAATGGCGAGCCCAGATCCTCAGGCTTATTGCGTTCGAAAAAGTGAGTGTCGATTTCGCCCGAGAGGAACTCTTCGTGCAGCAGCGTTCGCACCAGCAACTCACGGTTGGTTCGCAGTCCGTGAATGCGAGCCCGAGCCAAGCACCGGGCCAGCTTCCCGGCGGCTTCGACCCGGGTGGGGGCGTAGGCGATCACCTTGGCGAGCATCGAATCGTAGTACGGAGAAATTTCCGATTCGTTCCCGACGGCCGCGTCGATTCGCAGGCCTTCTATCTCGGGGAACTCGAATCGTTGCAGGCATCCACTCACCGGCATGAAGTCGTGACGGGGGTCTTCGGCATAAAGCCGGGCTTCGATGCAATGCCCAGTCTGTGTTACATCGCCCAACAATTCAGTCAATGCATGACCTTGGGCAACCAGAATCTGCAACCGCACCAGGTCCAATCCCGTCACGCATTCGGTAACCGGGTGCTCAACCTGCAAGCGGGTGTTCACTTCCAGGAAATAGAACTTGCCCTCGGGAGTGAGTAGGAATTCAACTGTTCCGGCGTTCACGTACCCGATGGCCTGCCCGGCACGCACGGCTGCGCCGCACATCGCCTCGCGAAGTTCGTCATCGAGGGCCACCGAGGGCGACTCTTCGATCACCTTTTGATAACGCCGTTGAATCGAACACTCGCGTTCGAACAAGTGTATTACATTGCCGTGGGTATCGCCAAAGACCTGCACCTCGACGTGCCTGGGCTTCTCGACGTAGGGCTCGATGAAAACCGAGGCATCGCCGAAGGCCGATTCGGCCTCTTGGCGAGCGGCGTCGAGGGCTCGGGGGAACTCTTTGGCGGAGCGGACGATTCGCATCCCGCGCCCACCGCCGCCGGCGGAGGCCTTTACCAGGACAGGAAAACCGAGCCGGTCGCACTCTTTCTCCAATTCGTCGGTCGATTGATCCTTCACCACCACGCTGGGCAAAAGTGGAACGTCGGCCCCTTCCATGCGACGCTTGGCTTCGACCTTCGAGCCCATCGCTTCGATCGACTCGGGCGTGGGGCCAATTAGCGTCAGGCCAGCGTCGGCCACGGCTTTGGCGAAGGTGGCGTTTTCGGCCAGAAACCCGTAGCCAGGGTGAACGGCGTCGGCACCTGCCCGCTTCGCGGCGTCGACGATGGCGTCGATCTTCAGGTACGACTCACCCGGTGTGGCACCGCCCAACGAAACAGCCGTGTCGGCTTCGCGAACAAAGAGGGCATCGCGGTCGGGGTCGGAGAAGACCGCCACCGATTCGATCCCCATCGCGTGGCACGCGCGGATAATCCGGCAGGCAATTTCTCCACGGTTAGCAACTAGAATCCGCTTCATTGATTACATCCGAAAGACGCCGAGTTGTTCTGTTCCTTTGACTTCGGCAGAGTGAGCCGCCGAGAGCGCCATGCCCAGCACCGTGCGTGTATCCCGCGGGTCGATAATGCCATCGTCGTACAGCATCGAGCTGGTGAAGACCGCCAGCGATTCGCTTTCGATTTGGGCTTCGACGAACTGCCGCTTCATGGCATCGGCCTCTTCGTCGAAGGGGATGCCCTTGGCTTCGGCCGCCGCACGGGTGACCAGCGACATGACGCCAGCCAACTGTTGAGGGCCCATCACCGCGGTTTTGCTGTTGGGCCAGGTGAACACGAAGCGAGGATTGTAGGCCCTACCGCACATGCCGTAGTTGCCGGCACCGTAGGAAGCCCCTATCTGCAACGAAATATGCGGCACCGTGCTGTTGGAGACCGCGTTGATCATCATCGCCCCGTGTTTGATGATGCCGCGCTGCTCGTATTCGCGGCCGACCATAAAACCCGTGACGTTGTGCACGAAGACGAGCGACGTGTTGTAGCGGTTGGCCAACTGAATGAACTGCGTGGCCTTCTGGGCTTCTTCCGAGAAGAGCACGCCCTGCTGGTTGGCCAGAATGCCGACGGGGTAACCGTGAATCGAGGCCCAGCCGGTCATCAGGCTGGTGCCGTACATCGGTTTGAATTCATCGAACCGCGAGCCATCAACCACACGGGCAACAATCTCCCGTACATCGACGGGCACTTTCAAGTCGGCCGGAGCGAGGCCGAGAAGTTCTTCGGGATCGTACTGTGGCTCTGAGTAGTTAGGGGCCGGCGGCGGGCCAAGCTTTTGCCAATTCAAGTTGGCCACCACTTTGCGACCCAAGCGGATGGCATCAAGTTCGTCGGCGGCGAGTTCATCGGCCAAACCCGAAACGCGGGCATGCATTTCGGCACCGCCCAATTCCTCATCAGTCGACTCTTCGCCGGTGGCCATCTTCACCAGCGGTGGACCACCAAGGAACACTTTGGCTTTTCCTTTGACGAAGATCGCGTGGTCGCACATGGCCGGGTTGTAGGCACCGCCGGCGGTGGAGTTACCGAACACCAGCGCGATTGTCGGAATGCCTGCAGCGGAAAGCTGCGTGAGGTCGCGGAAGATGGCCCCACCGGGGACGAAGATTTCCGACTGCTTCGGCAAGTCGGCTCCACCCGACTCGACCATGAAAATCAGCGGCAAACGATTCTGCTTGCAGATTTCCATTCCCCGCAGCGACTTCTTCAGCGTGTAGGGGTTTACCGCGCCTCCACGCACGGTGGGGTCGTTAGCCGAGAGCATGCACTCGATGCCTGAGACGAGCCCGATGCCGCCACAGCCTGAAGCCCCCACGCGATAATCGGTGCCGGCTGCTGCGTAAGGCGATAACTCCAGAAACGGCGAGTCGCGATCGAGCGTAAGTTCAATCCGTTCGCGTGGCAGTAGCTTTCCGCGCTCGCGATGTTTGGCGACGTATTTCTCGCCACCCCCCTCGCGCGTTCGAGCCAGCAACTTGTCCAGCTCTTCAAGTTGCTTGAGAAGCGATTCGCGATTCGTCTGAAATGCCGACGAGCCCGAATCAAGTGCTGAATAAAGAACCTGTCCGGAAACCAAAGGAGAATCCCCCAGCAGACAATTAGGGCATCAAGAGAAACCAAGAGGCTAACTCCCCCATAGCGGTGAGTCAACCAACTGGCGAGCGGGGAAATTTCTATGTCTTGCGTGCGTCGTCCTTGCGAGAGGGAGCCAACCGTGTTCGCCGACAAAACAAAGACGGAGCCGAGTAACCACTCGACTCCGTCTGGGTGAAAGCCAGTCTTCTCGCAGGCAGACTAATGGTTGAACAGGAACTCTTTGGTGTTGACCAAGGCCCAGAGAATATCTTCGTAGGCTTGTCGTTTGTTCTCGGTCTTTTCGATGTGCGCAGTCGCCACGGAGAGTTCGTCGTTCATGGGGGCACGTGAATAAACGCGTTGGTAAAGCTCACCAATACGTTCGGCGTGCGGCATGTCTTCCTTGGCCGCCAGTTGAGCGGCAAGGCTCGTGTCGGCCGACAGTTTGCCTTGCACTTCGCTGGAGTTCAGCAGGTGCAGGCTTTGCGCCAAGTTGGCCTCCTGCGAACGCTCGCACTCGCAGGCGGTATCGGACTGGGGGCTACCGAACACGTTCAGGAAGTAGTTGTTCACCCCTTCGTCGGGAAGCTGGACCGCACGGGTACCCGGGGGCAAGCCACTGAAACTGGTCGATGAATTGGTCACCTGATTCAGTGCATCGAGCAGCACCTCAGCCTGTAGCCGGCGGGGGTAAAACCGCGAGTAGTTCTGCTTGTCGGTCAGGTTGTACTCGTTCGGCTCTGAGCTGAGCTGGTAGGTTTGCGAACGGCAGATAGTGCGAACCAATTCCTTCAGATCAAACCCGCTGTCGATAAAGTGCTGCGAGAGAGCATCAAGCAACTCGGGGTTTGATGCCGGGTTGGTCACCCGCATATCGTCTTCGGGATCGACCAGTCCGCGGTCAAAAAAGTGTTTCCAGTACCGATTGGCTAGTGCCTTAGCGAAGAAGGGGTTCTCCGGGTCGGTCATCCAGGCAACTAACGCCTGACGAGGATCGGCATTGGGGTCCAACTCCAACACTTCATCACCAAGCCCAGCGGGGGAGAGTTGCTCGCCCGAGCGCGGATTTTTGGCTTTCGCCGTGCCCCGCTTGTGGTAAATCCGCTCTTCGTCAGCTTGTTTACCGGGCTTACGGCCCACGCGAGAGAAGAACGCTTCGAAGTGGTAGTAATCGTCCTGACTCCACTTCTCAAAGGGATGGTGATGACAGCGGGCACATTGAATTCGTAGGCCCAGGAAAAGCTGTGCGGTGTCTTCAACCTGCTGTGAGGCATCTTTCACTTCGCGATACCAAACCACCGGCGGATGCTGAGCGACCTCGCCGCTGGCGGCCACAATTTCGCCCACGAACTCGTCGTAGGGCTTATTTGTATAGAGGCTGTTGCGAATCCAGGAGTGGAACGCGTAGGTGCCGTGTTTGTAGTTGGCATTCGAACGCTTGTTCCGGAGAACGGCGCTCCACTTGCGAGCGAAATAGTCGGCGTAGTCGCCGGAGGCCAGCAATTGATTGATTAAGATATCACGCTTGTCGGGAGATCCGTCGGCCATGAAGGCGGCCGCTTCCTCAGGGGTGGGCAGCCGGCCGGCGAGATCGATTGTGACTCGGCGGATAAAAGTGGCGTCGTCGCAGGGCTGCGATGGCGGAATGCCCAGCGAGTTGAGCTTCGCGAAGATGTGTTCGTCGATGAAGTTCGCCGGCTCGGGCAGCGAAGGCGTTTCGACGCCCAGCGGAATCGAGGCCCGGAACACGCCGACGTGGCCTTGATAGCGGGCCATAATCGCGACATCGCCTGACAGATCGGTGGTAGTCACCAGTCCGGTCACATTGGTCTCGGCCATTTCAGGGTCGTTTGGTTCGTACAAAGCCGAGCGAGTGACATCTTCAATCGAACCATCGGAGTATCGGGCAAGCACGACGAGTTGCTGATCGGCGTGGCGCTCCATCAGCCGACCTTTGGGGAAGACCTCGATGGAGGTGACCACCGGATCATCCTCGGTACCGTATTCCATACCCTGGGAGATCCAGCGGTAGAGCAGGCGATATTCGTGGGAGTCGACTTCGAGCCGTTGTCCTCCGCCGTGCGGCGTGGCGTTCACGGCCTTGGTCAGCAGTAGGCTCCGTTCTGGCGCCGCAGGAAAGAGACGGCGGCCCTGGGCTTCTTTCACCAAGTACTCGTAGTCTTCTTGTGGTTCGAAGCCTAGCAACGAAAGCTTGAAGCCGTTTTGGCCGCTGGCCTTTCCGTGACACCCGCCGCTGTTGCAACTGAGCTTGGTGAAGATGGGGGTAATTTGGTTCGCAAAGTTGATCGGGGTCTTCTCGCTGAAGCCTTCGACGTGGACCGCGATTTTGGATGCAATGCCGTCGGAGGTGGTGGCCGTGAGTTGTGCCGTGCCATCGCCCGTAGGAGTTAGCAGCCCGGTGGAGTCGATCGAGACTACTCCGGCGGGTTCAACCGTGAAGGTAACATCCCGTGTGAGATCTCGCAGTTGCCCCGTGGCGTAGTTGCCGGTAACGACAACCTGGCGTCGTGCATCGCGGCCGAGCAGCGAAATCGCGGCCGAGCCCGGCTCTCCGGCCGAAATCTGCAATTCGACCAAGGCACCCGGATCGCCGAGGCCTGGAGTCTCAGGGCGGAGATTCGCCGCGAGTTCGGCGGCCGATGCTGCGGGTGCCGCTTCCAGCAGCAAGCCGAGCAATGCGAGAAGTGCGAGGGATTTCAATCCGTTCGTGCCACGCCACAACATAACTGTGCCTCCAGGGGGTCCTGGTCCATGGGCCGCAAACCCACACGGTACAACGCATTAGCGTTCGCGATTATCAACGCTGAAGGGCAAACGTGCAAGCAGATATTGATGGGTAAGGCCAAGAGCCGCGCGACGATCGCCACATATGTTGTCTCCACAAGAGGAAGAAATAACGCACGGCCGGATCGAGCCTGCCCACATTCCCGCAAGCGGCTTGCCAAAAGCTGCCGCGAGTTCCGCCTGAACTGGAACAACCCGGGTTCTAGCCCGCGACTTGACCGGCATCTTAAACTCGCGTTAGCCTGAAACTTAGCGAGACTCGCGGTGGGTAGAACTAAATAGGTCCCGCCGGGCTTGCGTGCCCCCTGATTGAGCCAGTAGTGGCTTAGCCCTCTTGTGTGCCACAATGGCACTATGCGTCCATTGCCGCCGTGAGTTGCGGGCGCGAAGCAATCGCAACCACTGACGATGGCAACTGTTAGGTGGGTCGAGATCGGAAAACGTGTCGAGCAGACAGGCTCTCTTTCCTACAGGAACTACATAAACGATGAGAAACGCCGTTCGTTGTGTATCTTGCTTTGCGATTCTGGTCGCCACGGCTTCATTAACCTCCACAGCACGGGCGGAAGATTGGCCGGCATGGCGACATGACAACTCGCGGGGCAACAGCACTTCGATGGAGTTGGCCGACGAGTTGCATCCGCAATGGTCGCGGCAACTCGAAGAGCTGGAACGAGCGTGGCCCGACCAGGAGAAGCTCGATTTCGAGCGGAGTCATCAGCCGATCGTCGTCGGCCAGCAGCTAATCTTGATTTCTCCCCGCAATGATCGGGTGGTGTCTTACAACACTCGCTCGGGCGAGCAAGATTGGGTATTTCGCACCGAGGGCCCAGTTCGTTTCGCACCCGTGGCCTATCAGGACAAGATCTATTTCGGCTCCGACGACGGCTACCTATACTGCCTGACTGCTGATACCGGTGAGCTGCAGTGGAAGTTGCAGGGCGGGGCGGGTGACCAGAAGGTGCTAGGCAACACACGATTGATTTCGGCCTGGCCGGTGCGTGGGGCCCCGACGATTTCTGACGACGGGGTACTGTACTTCGCCGCCAGCATTTGGCCGTTCATGGGCGTGTTCATTCACGCGGTCGATGCCGAGACGGGCGAAGTGCTGTGGACCAATGACGGAGACGGCTCGCTCTACATGCTGCAGCCTCACAACTCCGATTCGTTCGCCGGAGTCGCTCCGCAGGGCGTGTTGCTCGTCGAAGGCGACTACCTGCTGATCCCCAGCGGCCGCTCAGTTCCCGCCTGCTACAACCGCCACACTGGCAAGCTGGTGCACTTCAACCTGGCCGAGCACGGCAAACGGGGCGGAGGCTGGGAAGTTGCCAGCCTGGGCGATGTATTCATCAACGGCGAACAGGCGTTCGACGTCGAGACTGGCTCGGCCCTGGGCTCAATGCGGGGGCCATTCACGTTCGATGACACTCGCCTGATTCACTACAACTCCGGTCGACAGCTTTACGAGTGCCTCGACTTGGAAAACTCAGAGATCAAGAAGGTCGAAACCAAAGACCGCAAGGGTGAACCGCTGACTCTGACCAAGTGGTCGATTCCCGATGTGTGGAATTTCGAAGCCCCTGGCGGTGAAGGCATGCTGATCGCCGGCTCGCGGCTCTACAGCGGCTCGGTCAATCGACTGTTTGCTTTCGACTTGCCAGAAGCTAGCGCAGAGCAGGGCAATTCTGAAGACGACTCGGAGCCCAAGCCCACGAAGGCTTGGGAAATGTCGCTGCCAAACACCCCGGCGAGTTTGCTGGCGGCCGATGATCGTCTGTTCGTAGTAACACAAGACAATCAGCTTTTGTGCTTCGGCCCAGATGATGTTCAAGAGAAGCACTTCGACCTGCCTATTGTCGACATAGCCGAATCATCGGAACACGCCGACACAGTTGCGACGATGTTCGAGGAAACCGACGTTGAGAATGGTTACGGCGTCTGCGTAGGAATCGAGGATGGCGAATTGGTCCTCGAGATGCTGCGGCAGGAACCTACACTGACGATGATCGTCTTCGATCCCCGCGAGGATCGAGTGAATCAGCTTCGAGATGCACTCGTGGCCGCCGGACTGTATGGCACGCGGGCCTCGGTGCATGTGGGTGACCTGCAGTCGCTCAAAATCCCGGCGTATCTGGCGAGAATCGTCGTTAGCGAAGATCCATCCATCGCCGCTGTGCAGTACGGCACAAGACAGCTCTACTCGGTCCTTCGACCTTATGGCGGAACTGCCTGGCTGCAGCTTGATGACGAGGCTAGCAAAGACTGGCATGAGAACGCAGAGTCGCTCGAGTTGGTGGGCTCTGAAGTGACTAAGGGCGAGGACAGTACTGTTCGCCTAACCCGTAAGGGTGCCATTCCTGGTTCTGGTAATTGGACCCACGAACACGCCGACTCGGCCAACACGCGGGTGTCGGAAGACCGCATCGTGAAGGCTCCCTTGGGCCTGCTCTGGTTTGGCGGAACTTCTCACGAGGGCGTTCTGCCACGACACGGGCACGGGCCGCAGCCGCAAGTGATCGATGGCCGGGCGATCGTCGAAGGCGTAGACATGATGCGGGCGGTCGACATCTACACGGGCCGGCAACTGTGGGAACGTGAACTTCCCGACGTGGGTGCGTTCTACAACTTCCTGGGACATCAACCGGGTGCCAACGGAACCGGAACCAATTACGTCTCGCTCTCCGATGGCATCTACGTGGCCTACGGAGATCGCTGCCTGCGGCTCGATCCGGCGACCGGAGAGACGCTCGCCGAGTTCCCTATCCCCGGTGCAGAAGACTCTGGCCGGACCTGGGGCTACATCAATGTCAGTGGCGATTACCTGGTCTGCGGAACCGAAACACTGGTTGTGGACGAAGATCGCGACGGGACTCCTAAGCCTGGGAAGAATGCCAATCTTTCGGCAAGCAAACAACTTTATGTGATGGACCGAAACACGGGCGAGTTGGTCTGGAGCACCACGGCCGTCAACCGCTTCCGTCACAACGCCATCTGTGCCGCTGACGGGCGTTTGTTCGCTGTCGACCTGTTGAGCCAGGGAGAACTGGAAAGACTTAAGCGGCGTGGGCAAGAGCCGACAACTTCTTCGCGGTTGGTTTGTTTCGACCTGGCCAACGGCGACGAACTCTGGAGCACTGAAGAAGGTGTCTTCGGCACTTGGCTAAGCTATTCGGCAGAACACGACGTGTTGGTTGAATCGGGCCGACCCACGCGTGACGCGCTCGACGACGAGCCGAAAGGCATGCGTGCGTTCTCGGCCAGCAATGGTGAGTTGCTGTGGTCGCAAGACTACAGCGGACCGGCCATCATTCATGGCGAGGACATTCTTCTGGCCGGGTTCGCTTGTGAACTCAAGACCGGTGAGAAGGTGATGCGGAAACACCCAGTGACTGGTGAAGACGTCGAGTGGACTTGGAGCCGCAACTACGGCTGTAACACTCCGATGGCTTCTGAGCACCTGATGACGTTCCGCAGTGGGGCGGCCGGATACTACGACCTGGCCGGCGACGGAGGAACGGGTAACTTCGGCGGTTTCCGCTCGGGCTGCAGCAACAACCTCATCGTCGCGGGTGGCGTGCTCACCGTTCCTGATTACACGCGAACGTGTGTCTGCGGGTATCAAAACCAAACCTCGGTGGGCTTAGTGCCTATGGCCGAGGCCGAAATGTGGACGCAGTTCACACTCAGCGAATCTAAGAACCTCAAACACTTGGGCTTGAACCTGGGGGCTCCTGGTCAGCGCCGGGCCGCCGACGGATTGCTGTGGCTCAACGATTACGACGATGTCGAACTCACCTTCGACGAACACTACGGGCCTTACAACTCGCACTCGGCCAAAGTCGAAGGCGAGGGGCTACCATGGGTCGCCGCATCGGGTTGCCGGGGAATCAAGAGCTTGGAACTGAACCCCAAGCTGAATCCCTTTGTGAAGGACGATACACCGTTCCTCGTGCGACTGACGTTTTGCGACCCCGACAATGCGGAAGCTGGTGTCCGTCAGTTCAACGTGAAGCTGCAGGGCAATGTTGTGCTGGAGAATTTCGATATCGCAAAGGCCACCGGTGGGCAGAATCGCAGCATTGTGATGGAGTTCCCCAACGTCGCGGTCCGCGGAAAACTGCTCGTCGAGTTTGAACCGACATCGGCCGAAGAGGCGAATGCCACGACCGTGCCTGTGCTGAGTGGTATTGAGGTGATTCGCCAGGACGAACAACCGTAATTACCGCGCAGGAAGCGTTGATTCCCTACAGGCCAACAAAGTGAAAAACGTAACGACCGTTATAGTTTTTCACCGGACTTGCTGGGGCGCGTAGTACCAATCTGCGCGACTCGCCCAGAGAACTCTGGCATGGTATTCTCGGGCGAGGTGAACCACCGTCGTGCACCTGCGCAATGCGACGTTGCAGCGTTTGATACGCAGCCCACCTGCCATACTCCCACCAGAACCCCATACCCCAGCCACACCGGACATCAGGAGCCAATCTCGTGACAACTCACATCCGGCGAGGTGCCCTGAACTCGATGTTCGGCCTGATGTTCGGCACACTGGCGTTGCTTGTCGTGCTTTGCGTGGCGCTGTACTACCTCAGCTCACCCTCTCCCGGCACGGCAACTGGGGAGGGCTCCGACGAGCTTTTCCTCTACTGCGCCGCCGGCGCACGTTCGGCTGTCGAGGAGATCGTCAAGCAATATGAAGAAGAGCAGGGGGTCAAGGTTCGCGTGCAGTATGGCGGATCGAATACGCTGCTCAGCCAGTTGGAGGTGAGCAAGACCGGCGATTTGTTCTTAGCGGCCGACGACAACTACACCACTTTGGCCCAGGAAAAGGGCTTGGTGGACGAAGTGTTCCCCATCGCCGAGCAACGACCCGTGATCGTTGTGCAAGCTGGGAACCCGAAGGGCATCGAGTCGATTGATGATCTACTTCGAGACGATGTCCGCGTGGCGATCGGCAATCCTGACCAGACAGCCGTCGGCAAGGTGGTGCGGAAGAGCCTCGAAACCTCTGGCCAGTGGGAAAAGCTAGAAGACCATGTGAAGGTGATGAAACCTACGGTGAACGACGTGGCCAACGATGTGGAGATTGGCAGCGTTGACGCCGGCATTGTGTGGGACACCATCGCAGCCCTCCACCCAAAGCTCGATGTTATTCAAACGCCAGAGTTAAATGCCGGAATGGCCCATATCACGCTTGGCGTGATGACTACGGCTAAGAACCCAACCGAGGCCCTACGCTTCGCCCGTTACGTTACCGCGCGAGACCGCGGATTGGAGGTTTTTGCCGATCAGGATTACGTCGTGCCCCAAGGCGACGTGTGGGAAGAGACACCAGAACTCACGTTCTTCGCCGGCAGCGTGAATCGCAACGCTTTAGATCCAATCATCGAGCGATTCGAGCAGCGTGAAGGCGTCACCATCAACACTGTCTACAACGGCTGCGGCATCCTCACGGCCCAGATGCGAAGCATACAGGACACCGCCAGCGGCGGCTTCCCCGACATCTACATGGCCTGCGATGTGTACTACCTCGACACGGTAGCCGAGCTGTTCCAAAAGGGGATCAACGTTTCAAACACCCCCATCGTGATTGTGACGCAGAAAGATAATCCCAAAGACATCAAGACACTAGACGACCTGACAGCCCCCGGCGTGAGAGTGGTGCTTGGCCAGCCCGACCAGTGCACCATCGGGGTGCTCAGCCGCAACCTGCTGCAAGACGCCGGCATCTACGACAAGTTGATGGCCGAGAACGTCGTATCGCAAACCACGTCGTCGTCTTTGTTGATTCCCGCCATCACCACCGCCGCGGCCGATGCCGTACTGGCGTACCGTACTGACACGGGCTCGGTGCTCGACCAAGTAGAAGTAATCCCCATCGACTCGCCACTGGCGAAGGCCGTGCAACCGTACAGCGTTGCCCGTTCCAGCGATTTCCAACAACTGGGGCAACGCTTGTTCAAGGCCATCTCCGAGTCGCGGCAGGAGTTTGAAAACGCCGGCTTCGAGTGGCAACTCAACTCTCAGCTTGCTCCATCAGCGGATGACAATGCCGTCGAAGTTCCCTCGCCAGCCACGGGGGCTTCGGGGACATGAGCGAGCCGAACCAGGCGCTTGCCCTTGGCAAACCCCACAAGGTCGGCTCAGACGTGCCGTTCTACACCACGCTGGCGGCCATCGGCGGTGTGTATCTCCTGCTGATTGTGATGATGCTCTCGGCCGACGTGGTTTACATGCTGCGCACTTCCGAAGCGGTCAGCTCTGAATTCGCCACCGAGCACCCTCTTCTCGCAGGGCTGCTGAACAATCCTATCGGAAGGGCCCTGGCCGACGAGAACATTCAGCATTCCATTTGGCTCACACTCATCTCGTGCACCATTACGACGATTCTCTCGCTGTGGGTCGCGGTGCCGATCGGCTATCTTCTGTCGCGACACCATTTTTGGGGCCGCAACTTGGTCGACGCCGTGCTCGATATCCCCATCGTGCTGCCACCGCTGGTGGTCGGGTTAAGCCTGCTGATTCTGTTTCAATATATGCCTGTCTGGCTCCGCGACGCCGTGGTGTATCAGGTGCCGGCGGTGATACTTGCCCAGTTCATGGTGGCGGCTGCCTTTGCCGTGAGAACGATGCGGGCCACCTTCGATCAAATCGACGCCCGCCGCGAACAAGTGGCCCTCACCTTGGGTTGCACACGGGCACAAGCTTTCGGAACGGTGGTCTTGCCCGAAACAAAACGCGGTCTGCTCACGGCTGGAACCCTGGCCTGGGCGCGTTCGCTAGGGGAATTTGGCCCGCTGCTGATCTTTGCCGGGGCCACCCGAGGGAAGACCGAAGTACTTTCGACCACGGTGTTTTTAGAGTTGAGTATCGGCGACCTGGAAGCCGCCGTGGCGGTTTCGCTTATCATGGTAATGGCGGCCGTGGCCGTGTTGGTTATTGCGCGGGTGTGGGGCTCGCGAAATCTTACGCTATGAGAATTGGTTGATGATTCGGGTCGAGAACCTCTCCGTTCGAGCGGGTGAATTCCAGTTGGAAGACGTGTCATTCACCATTCCCAGTGGATGCTACGGACTTCTCATGGGTCGCACCGGCAGCGGAAAAACAACGCTGCTGGAATGCGTCGCCGGCTTGAAACGGATCGAGTTGGGTCGAATCATCCTCGGCGATCAAGACGTCTCCCAGCTTCGCCCGGCAGAACGCAACATCGGCTACGTTCCCCAAGACGGGGCCCTGTTCCCGACGATGACCGTGTCTGAGCACCTGGCCTTTGCCCTGGTGATTCGACGCGTTCCCCAGTCGCACATTACCGCCCGGGTCGAACAGTTGGCCGAAATGCTGGAGATCGGCCACTTGCTCAATCGTTACCCAACCAACTTAAGTGGGGGTGAGAAACAACGCGTATCGCTCGGACGTGCACTATCCTTCGGTCCAACCACGCTGTGTCTCGACGAGCCGCTAAGTGCCCTGGACGAAGACACCCGAATGCAGATCATCGACCTGCTCAAACGCGTGCAGCGAGAAACGGGGGTGACGTGCCTGCATGTTACCCATAGTCACAAAGAAGCCAACCTTTTGGCCGACGTGCGGCTCGAACTGCTGGATGGCCGCATCGAGGTGGAAGACAACTCGTCAAACCTTAACGATTCAGGCTCGGTCGAACCGGCTGCCGACGCTCAATCGAGGGCATCGTGAGAGGGGTTTACCCATAAACTCGCCCCAGCTTGGCGGCGTTTGTCTGGCAGAGAGCCGACTGTTATTCTGAACCATTAAGAGCGACTCTCACCCACCAATTACGCAGCCCCCACCCCAATCCAGGTGCTGTCGAAATGACGTTTAAAAACTGCTTACCGACTTGTTGTTGCCTGCCCACGCGAGCAATGCTCGTGGCGTTGACTGCGATGTGCCTGGCCGCGGTGGCTTGGGCTTGCGACACGCCCGTGTATCGCTACGCGATGTACAATTGGACGGCAGAGTCGTACGTGGTGGTTTACGCTTATGAAGGTGAGCCAGATCCGGCCGATCAAGGCGCAAACGATCTGCTGATCAATTCGGAAACTGCCGACAGCCCGGCCAATATCCGCTTCCTGACGATCGATCTCACGAACCCGGATGAAGTCCAGCAACTGCCCCCAGAGATGCAAGCCGGGCTCGAGGGCAGCGAGACCGAGCCCCCATACCATGCGGTTTTTACTCCGCACAATCAGCTACTTCAAAAGGAAAGGCTTTCCGAATCCACTGCCCGGCAGCTGATTGAGTCTCCTGCTCGCAACGAGTTGGCAGAACTTCTCCGAGAGGGCTCAGCCGGGGTGCTGATTTTGCTGGAGTGCGAAGACGAAGAAGCAAACGCTGAGGCCAAGGAGGCGGCCGAGGCCGCGATCGCCCGCGCGGCCGCCGGAGAAATCCGCCCCTTCACGCTAGCGGGGGCGGGCGTGGAAGAGGAGGAAGTCGAACCCTTTGAGGTTGGCCTAATCGTGGTGTCGCGCGGAGATCCCGAAGAGCAGGCCCTCGTGAATATGCTGCTCGACGTGGAAGACGACCTGCGGGATTTCAACGACCCGATGATTTTCGGAGTTTACGGAAGGGCACGAGCCGGGTGGCCGTATCTGGGGCAGGGCATCACCAAAGAAAACATGGACGACTGTCTGGCATTCATGTCGGGGGCTTGCTCGTGCGAGGTGAAGGAACAAAACCCGGGGATGGATCTTCTGGTGGCCGCCAACTGGAACGCTGCAGCAGAATCGCTGGCTATTAAGTTCCAGGACGACAGTGCCGACGAGTTCCTGAATGCCGAGGCAATGTTCCCGGCAGTAATCAACACACTCGAAACCGAGCAAGAAACCGAGGAATCACCCGTCGAGACAGCCTCGGTAGAACTGACAGAGGATGACGACCGCCTGGCCGCCGCAGATCGGGTTGATCTCGATGCCGCTCCGGCCAGCGATGCAGCCGCAGCGGAAGAAGCAACCATTGAGCTAATCGAAGAGAGCCCGAGTTCGCCACCGGCCCCGCTCGCTGCCCCCGCGGCTTCGCCGGTTGATGTAAGTGTGTTGTTTGTAGTGGGTGGAATCGTCGCGGTGATGTTTATCTCCACCCTGGTTATCTTTCGACTTCGTGGTTAAGTAGCGTCCAGCGGGAAACGCGTGTGATCCAGTTAGAATCTGTCACCAAGGTCTATCACCGCGACGGCCAAGACGTCGTCGCACTCGATAACGTCTCGCTGAACATTGATGCCGGTGAGTTCGTCTGCGTGCGTGGGCCAAGCGGGTGCGGCAAGTCGACGTTGCTCACGCTGGTTGGCGGTCTGGGCACCCCAAGCTCGGGGCGTGTGATAGTCGCAGGGAATGATTGGGGGGCGATGTCGGCCTCGCAACGGGCTCACCAGAGGGCCACGACGGTGGGGTTCGTCTTCCAGCTGTTCCACCTGTTGCCATACCTAACAGTGTTGGACAACGTGCTGCTGGCCACTTCGCAATCGTCGCATGCCGACACGCGCAAGCGAGCCGAGCAACTGCTCGAGCGGTTCAATCTTTCGCATCGCCTTACGCATCGTCCGGCCGAGTTAAGCATCGGTGAACGTCAACGCGTTGCCATGGCGAGGGCCCTCTTGAACGAGCCCCCGCTATTATTGGCAGACGAACCCACGGGCAATCTCGACCCAGAGAATGCCACGGCGATCATGAGCCACATCGAAGAGTTCCATCGGGCTGGTGGAACCGTAGTGCTGGTCACGCACGATGCGGCCGCAGCCAATGTGGCGCAGCGAACCGTCATGCTTCGCAACGGCGCGGTAGAAGAAGCAAGCACCACCGCAACCGGGTAACGGCAACTGCTTGCAGAAAGTCAGCCCCCGGAAACCGGAGCAACAATCACCAGTTCGTCCCCATCACGCAACGTGGGGTTCTGATGTTTGCCAATCGAGCCTTGGTGCTTGCCCGACACAGCCACCAGGCAACTATCCGGCAGGCGGGCATCCTCTGAAGTTTGGCTGGCGATTTCGTCCAGTGCATCGTCCAACGTGCTTGCATCGTCAAGCGTCAACTGTTTGGGAATCGCATCGCTGAGATGATAACTTCGTCCCGAGATAACCACTTCGATCTGCATCGCGCTTGCTGTCCTGTTGGTGTTCGACTCGTGTGAACTTGAAAGCTCTATTCTACTGCCGGACGATTGATTCCCCCACACACCGGGCATTCTGGATCGCGCTGCAGATCCATCATCCGCGTGCGGCTGTCGTGCCCGTCAAACATCAGCATGCGTCCGGCCATCGATCGGCCAGTACCGCTGAGCAACTTAATCGCCTCGAGCGCGGCCAACGATCCAATGGCCGATGAAATTGCCCCCACCACGGGGAAGAATTCTTCGAACTCCGGCTCATCGGGATAAATGCAACGCAGACAGGCCGTGCGTCCGGGGTCGGTAACGATCAGCGACCCCATCATTCCCCATTGGGCCGCATCGATGAGCGGTTTCCCGGCACTCACGGCGGCCTCATTCAATCGCATTCGTTCGGCGAATGTGGGCGGGCAAGCCAGGATGATGTCGACCTCTTCGGCTAACTTTTGGGCTTCGGCGGCGTCGGGTTCGTGGTCGATCGCCACTACCTCGACATAACTATTCATCGCCCTCAAGGTCTCGGCGAAGTGCGGCGCCCGCAGCTTTCCGATCACTTCTTCCGATCCCAATAGCTGACGGTTCAAGTCCGGCGGGATCATCTCTCCGCCGTGAGCGATGACTACTCGGCCCACGCCTGCCATGGCCAGGCACAGTGCGGCGGGACCTCCCATGCCTCCCACGCGTGTGACGAGCGCAGATGAGTTCTTCAGGCGGAGTTGCCCCTGGTGGCTCAGTACGCCGGGCCCCATTTGTCGGGCGTAGCGTTCCAATTCTTCCGGCGACAGTTCTTGCGAAGCGATGACGTCGATCCTCGTAGAAACCAGTCTTAGACAAATTCAACGTTAAGCCGCCAATTTAACGCGCCCGGCCTCGATTGTCCGCGCCTACGAACATGGCGACATGTTCCACTTGCCCAGTGTATTGGGGCCCCGATGCCCTCGTGTTATCTTCATGACGATTGACCACCGACCTCGCACGGCAGGCGTATGATGAGCAGTAACTTAACGATCCGCCCCGCCAACGACAAAGACCGTTTGGCAACGCTGGAAAACACTTGGCAGTACTGGGGCGACGGACTCTCGCGGGACGAGTTCTTTGAGAACCGTCTCAACTCGCCGCAGTTCCAGCGATCGCGACGGTTCGTAGGGCTCGTCAATGACAAAGTCGTTGTTTCTCTGGCCGCCTACACTTGTTGCTTTCAGTTGCATGGCGATGTACTGGACGGGGTCGCGATTGGCTCGGTCTATACCAGGGACGAACATCGCGGGCACGGCTACGCCTCGCAACTCATGGAATATGTCGACAACATCCATGCCAAAGGCGGGGCGAAGCTCAGCGTGCTCTACTCGGATATTCCGCCAGAGTTCTATGAGCGGCTCGGCTACGCAACGTGCCCAAGCTGGCAGGGCGAGGTAGCGATAACCTCTGGTACGCCCGCCGCCACCGGAGGTTGGAAACTTCAACCGTTCGATCCTGCCGTTTCACTCCCTGAACTGGAGAGGCTCTACAGCGATGACTCCGGCAACATGCCGCTGTCGATCGCGAGGAACCTCACCTACTGGAAGTTCACGCTCGAATATCGCAAAAAAGACGACTTTTACTGGCTTCAAGATGCCGAAGGTCAGACGCACGGCTACGTTCGCATTGCTATGGGGAAGAAGCAGGACCTGCACATTCTCGATCATGCGTTAGTCGCGCGGAGTGACAAACTGGAGATTGCGCTCTACCTGGCAGTCAAACACTTGGCCGCTGAGCAGGCGGCCCAAAGCATTCACACCTGGGTTCCCAACACCCCCGCCGCTCAGGCTTGCTTCAGCGTTCAACCGCGGACGATGGAAATCACCATGATCAAAACCCTCGACCCGCAAACAGTGGTCTCCACCGGAGCGATCGAGGCCGCGCAGTACTTCCACGAAGTAGACCACGTTTAACACATAGATACCCGGCCGCATGAGCTGGCTAGACGGAGATCGACATGAAGCTAGGTTTTGTGACCGCGATTCTGCCGGAGTTGGAACTGGAAGACGTACTGGCGTTCGCTGGCGCCGAGGATTACGACTGCATCGAAGTCATGTGCTGGCCCGTCGGCAAGGCCGAACGAAAGTTCGCCGGAGTCACTCATATCGACGTGACCGACTTCAGCCAGGCGGCCGCCGACGATGTGAACGCCTTGTGCGACAAGTACGAAGTGGAACTCTCCGGCTTGGGCTACTACCCAAACTTGCTTTCAGCCGACGAAAGCGAAGCCGAAGTGTCATACACCCACCTGCAACGTGTGATGGACGCTGCACAGTTACTGGGGCTGAAGAATGTCAACACGTTCATCGGGGCCGATCACCGTAAGAACTGGGACGAAAACCTGAAACGATTCGAGGAAGTCTGGCCGGCACTAATTCGCTACGCCGAGGAAAGAGATCTGTACATCGGCATCGAGAACTGCCCCATGCTGTTCACCTTTGACGAATGGCCCGCGGGCAAGAACCTCGCCTACTCGCCCGCCATCTGGCGAAGAATGTACGACATCATCCCCTCGGATCACTTCGGCCTGAACTACGACCCCTCGCACCTGGTGTGGATGATGATGGATTATGTAAAGCCGATATACGAGTTCGGGTCGCGGATCTTTCATGCGCACGCCAAAGACATGCGAGTGGAGCCAGACAAGCTGAACGACTGTGGCATCCTGGGGCTCGGTTGGAGCACACCCAAAATCCCCGGACTGGGGCAAGTCGACTGGAACCAGTTCGTGTCTGCCCTGACCGACATCGGATTTGATGGTTCGCTGTGCGTCGAAGTCGAGGACGATGCTTTCAGTGCGAATCTGGAAGCCCGAAAGAACTCGCTACGGCTTTCGCGAAATGTGCTACGGCCGCTGGTCGTTTAATTTCGGCGCAACTCACTCCGACCGGCACACGCAAGCACTCACCCGAGAGGGTAGGGCGTGAGTTCTTTGCCGAACGTCACATCCTTGGAGATGGCAGCATTCAAACGCCTGAGGAATTCATCGCGGGGGATCTCGGTCGCGCCCATGCGAGCCATGTGTGGCGTGAGTTGCTGGATATCGAGCAATTCATACCCCCGTGTGTGAAGGTGATGCACCAAGTGCACGATGGCCACCTTCGAGGCGTCACGCTCCCGGTAGAACTTAGACTCGGCCGCAAACATAGCCCCCAGCCCCAGGCCATAGGTCCCGCCGGCCAGCTCGCCATCGAACCACACTTCCACACTGTGTGCCAACCCAAGTTGATGCAATCGGATATAGGCCTTCTGCATGGCCGTAGTGAGCCAAGTGCCATACGCACGATCTTGCGCTGTAGCACAACCATGAATCACACCCGCAAAGTCGCGATCGCAAGTGACTTCGAACTTTCCGTTGGCGATAGTCTTTGCTAGCCGTCGCGAGACATGAAGTTGATCGAGTTCGATCACGGCCCTCGGGTCTGGCGTCCACCAGGCCAGAATGTCTTCATTTACCGGCCAGGGAAAGATCCCGTGCTGATAGGCGTCTATCAACCACTTGGTAGTCAGTTTGCCACCAACGGCGATCAGTCCGTCGGGGTCGGCAAGTTCCACCGGCGGAAAGATTTTCGATTCCGGAAGTTGAGTCATGGCCAAAGTACCAGACAACGGTCACGTGCCGATTGGGACATCAATTCGAGTTCTCTCCAGGGTACCCATCTAGGTCATGCCTGAAAACTAATCATTCGACAACGCGCAGGCGTTTGTTCCCCATGTGAGCAAGACACTATAATGCGAAGGTCCTCGACCTCAGACGGATTGGTGGCCGCGGATGACTCTCCTTGGAACGGAACGGTATCTCCCGAGCGTGATTTTCTGGGAAACGCTACCTTGGAATACGCATCATCTTCGCAAAGCCGTACCACGCGGCTGTTGCTAATCCTGGCGTTGCTGCTGATCGCCTTGGCGGCCCCTTATCTCACCCGTGAGATAAGTTACGCCTTCAATCAGGGTCGCGAGCGAGCCAGAGTCGAATCCGCTCGTGAGTTGCTGAACGAAACTTCGGGAACAACAGCCGCGTTCCCCTGGGTCGCGCAGAGCATGGGGCCCAGCGTGGTGCACATCGATACCAGCCGACCGGCAGGCTTGCCGGATTATGCGGACGAACTCGAATCGCTGTATCAGGAAGCCCCAGAATACGAATCACGAGGCCAAGGCTCCGGCGTCATCATCGATGATGCAGGCTACGTACTAACCAACTACCATGTGATTCGCAATGCTCAGCGAATCGACGTTAGCCTGAGCGATGGTCGACAATTCTTCGATGCAAAGGTGATTGGAACCGACTCGCTAACCGACCTGGCCGTGCTGAAGATTCCCGAAGGCGACCTGATCGCCGCGCCGTGGGGGAACGATCAAGACCTGGAAGTCGGGGATTGGGTGCTGGCCGTTGGGAACCCCTATGGACTCGATCGAACCGTAACTGCTGGCATCGTGAGTGCCGAACAGCGGAACTTCGCCCGATCGCCCTACCAACATTTTCTGCAGACCGACGCGGCAGTGAACCCCGGCAACAGCGGAGGCCCCCTGGTCAACCTTCGTGGGGAAGTCGTTGGGATTACGACCGCGATCTTTGGTGAGTCTTATCAAGGAATCAGCTTTGCCATTCCCGCCACCATGGCGCGAGAAGTTTACGAGCGTTTGAAATCGAACGGGCGTGTATCGCGCGGTTGGCTTGGGGTTGCGCTCGCGCCGCTCGATTCGGAGATAGCGCAGCGAGTTGGAGTCGATGTTGAAGAAGGCGTGTTTGTCACCGGAATTATCGCTGGTGGTCCGGCGGAGAAGGCTGGCGTATTGCCCGGTGACATCATCATCGAGTGGAACGGCGAACCCATCCGCGAACCGCGCGACTTGGTTCTGATGGTGGCCAACACCGCAGTTGGCACCGAAGCCACCTTAGTTGTGCTGCGAGGCGGGAAGCGTGAAGAACTCAACATCGACGTCGCGGAACGCCCACCAGATGACGAGTGAGAAGTCAAGCACCCAAAGCAAGAAAATCCGGGCCACGGCTTGCGTCAACAACGCTGCTTTTTTCATTGATTCTTTGGCGTGATTCTCATGCATCTTACTGGCGATTCGTTTTGCAATTCGCTCGTTTTTTTCCGCAGAATGCTTTCGTCGTGGGTGGCCAACGGGTTGCTTGACCCTCCAAAAACCGAGATTTATAATCGAGCCGCTAAGGTACAAAAGCCACCGAATTCTTGTTGATGGTGGTATGATGAATCGCACCGTGGGGGGTGCTGTTCTTGCTGCTCCTCGATTGCAGTTCGACGGTGTTTTGCACATCGCTCAGTTTAGGAGCGCCGGGTTTGTCGTCCGCCGGATCTTTCGACGCTAAAGAGCGCATCAAGGAAGCAGTCGACATTGTCGAACTGGTCTCCGAATACCTTCCCTTGCGTCGCGAAGGCAGCAACTTCAAGGGCCTCTGCCCTTGGCACGACGATAGCCGCCCCAGCTTGCACGTGAATCCGCAGCGGCAGACGTTCCGCTGCTTTGTGTGCGATATCGGTGGTGATGTCTTCACGTTCCTCATGCAACGAGAGAACATCCCCTTCGTCGAAGCGTTGCGAATCCTCTCTGAACGTGCCGGAATCCCCTTGGAACGCGGTGGCGACCCCGCGGCCGCCAAGCAAAAGGCAGACGCTCGCGAGGCCATGCGAGGGGCTCTCGATTGGGCCATCCAGCAGTACAGGCGTTATCTGAATACAGCAGCGGATGCCGAGGTGGCTCGTAGTTACCTCTCCGAGCGCGATGTCACGGCCGAAAGTATCGAGAAATTCCAGATCGGTTTTGCCCCGGCCCAGTGGAGTTGGCTGCTCGATCAACCGGGTGCCAGGTCCTTCAGCCCCAAGTTGCTTGAGACCGTGGGGCTCGTGTCTCCACGACAATCGGGTGGGTACTATGATCGCTTCCGGGGCCGGTTGCTGTTCCCCATCCACGACCCTCAGGGCCGCCCCATTGCGTTCGGAGGGCGGGTGCTGCCGGGAGTGGATATCTCGAGCCAGGCGAAATACATCAACTCGCCAGAGTCACCACTTTTTTCCAAGAGCGACGTGCTCTACGGGATGAACATTGCCCGCAATGCTATCAGTCGCGAGCGGAGCGTGGCTGTGGTCGAAGGTTACACCGACTGTATTGCGGCTCACCAGTACGGGTTTGAGAACGTCGTGGCGGTTTTAGGCACCGCGCTGGGGCCTGCCCATATCCGCATGCTGCGAGGACTGGCCGATCAAGTGACCTTGGTGCTCGACGGCGACGACGCAGGCAAGCGGCGTGCCAATGAGATTTTGGAATTATTTGTGGCCGAAGCCCTCGACCTCCGCATTTTGACCTTGCCTGAAAATGCCGATCCGTGCGAGGTTCTTGCATCTGACGGTCGGGAAGGTTTTGCACGGATGCTAAACACGGCCGTCGATGCCTTGGAGCATAAGTTCACCGTGGTTGCCGGTCGCTTAGGTTCGCAGAGTTCGATGCACGAAATGAATCGTGCCGCCGAAGAGGTTCTGGCCACCCTCGCCAAGGCTCCGCGTCTGCACGCATCTTCAGGCTCCGCCGCGAGGCTTCGCGAAGATCAGCTTCTGCATCGCCTGTCAACTCTCTGTCAGGCTCCAGAAGAATCGCTACGGAATCGCCTTGCAGACTTGCGGCGCAATTCTTCCCGAACCAATATGGAAAGGCTCGCTGCACCGGCAGCCGCCAACGAAGCCACGGCAAAGGACACTCGATGGCAACGCGACCTGGTTGAGTTGCTCATCCGGCATCCAGAGTTGTTGCCGCAGGCTCGCGAGCAAATCGATTCAAATCACCTCGCCGCCGATCGTGCGCGAGACTTATATCTAAAGTGTTGTGAATTGCAGGACGCCGGAGTCGACCCGACATTCGACCGGCTCATGCTTGAGTTCGACGACCCGAACGATCAATCGTTCTTGGTGAGCGTCGACTCCGAGGGTGAGTTGAAGGAATCGTTTGGCGAGTCGCCCGTCACAAAGTTCGATCTTCTGATGGAGCGTTACAAAAACGAGCAACATCAGAAGCGTAAGCAAACCAATCGCGCCCGTCTTGATAAGCAAGAACTGGCGGAGGATGAGGAGGCAGCAATCTTACGTCAATTGATTGACGAAGAGCGTAATCGGCGACAACTTTTCTGACTCACGGATGGGTCGGAGGTCGACCGAAGGGTCGCTGGCAGCGTGTCGATTCCCGCACATCGCCACGGCTACCCAGGTTCCACTCGGCGCACTTGATGCGCGGGAGGGGTAATAGATGGAAAATACGGATAAAGAACTTCTATCGCTGATCGAACGTGGCAAGTCGCAGGGCTACTTGACCTACGACCAGATCAACGAGTATCTGCCCGACGACGCTGTCGAGCCTGAAAAGCTCGATGGTTTGATTGTCGCGTTGGAAGATCAAGGTATCGAGCTTGTGGACGAAGCGCCCGAGCCCGAAGGAGTTGATGAATCTTCAGGTTTGTCTTCGGCAGTGGTTGCCGAGGCTTTCGACGAGCCCAGCGAAAGCGAAACCCCCGTTGCAGAAGCCGAGCCCGTAGAGGAAGTCCCGCATAGCAAGGTGCTCGACGAGCCGACCAAGTGGAGCGAAGACCCGGTTCGCATGTATCTCACGCAGATGGCAGAGATCCCACTGCTGTCTCGCGATGAAGAAATCGCACTGGCCAAGAAGATCGAGGTGACCCGCAAGCGTTTCCGCCGCACCGTGCTGGGCTGCAACTATGCCCTGCAAGCCACGACCGAAACGCTGCACAAGGTGCACGATGGGCTGCTGCCGTTCGATCGCACGATTAAGGTTTCGCTGACCGAGCGGCTGACCAAAGAGCAGATTCTGGCCCGCATGCCCCATAACCTGCGAACTTTGGACCACCTGCTGGAGCAGAACCAGCGTAATTTCCGCCGCATGATCAGCCGAAAGATGCCCCGCGAAGAGCGAATTGTCGCTCGCCGCCGTTTCCTGAGCCATCGACACAAGGCCCTGCTGCTGGTCGAAGAGCTAAGCCTGCGGACGCGTCGCGTTCAACCGATGATGAAGCGAATCGAGGAAATCGCCGACGAGATGGAAACCCTGCAGCGACGGATTGCCGCCCTGGAGGACAATACCGCGGCCAAAGACCAGCGAGCGAATCTGCTCATCCAGCTCAAAGACCTGATGCTGGAAACCCTGGAAAGCCCCAAATCGCTTCGCCGCCGCTGCGAAAAAATGCAGCAGCAGTTTATCGATTACGAACGGGCCAAGCGGATGCTTTCCGGCGGAAACCTGCGTTTGGTCGTTTCCATCGCCAAGAAGTACCGCAACCGAGGGCTCAGCTTCCTAGACCTCATCCAGGAGGGGAACACCGGCCTGATGCGGGCGGTGGACAAGTACGAATACCGCCGCGGGTTCAAGTTCTCGACTTATGCCACCTGGTGGATTCGCCAGGCGATCACTCGGGCAATTGCCGATCAGGCCCGCACGATTCGCATTCCGGTGCATATGATCGAAGTGCTTTCGCGGCTGCGAAATGTCGCCAAGCAACTGCAGCAAGAGCTCGGTCGCGAGCCGACGACGGAAGAAACCGCCATCGCCGCAGACATCAGCGTCGAGGAGACCCGACGTGTGCTAAGTATCGGGCGTCACCCGGTGAGCCTCGACCGGCCCGTGGGCGAAAGTGAAGACAGCTCGTTTGGCGAGTTTATCGAAGATACGGGTTGCCAAAACCCCATCAAGACGGCCGCTCAAGGGTTGTTGCGAGAGCGGATCGAGAACCTGCTCAAGACGCTCACCTACCGTGAACGCGAGATTATTCGCCTTCGCTACGGCCTAGGCGACGGCTACACCTACACCCTGGAAGAGGTAGGCCGTATCTTCAAGGTCACTCGGGAGCGGGTACGGCAAATCGAAGCCAAAGCCGTACGAAAGCTCCAACATCCGGTGAGAAGTAAACAGTTAGAGGGATTCCTAGAAGGAATCGCCGGATAACCCGGCTTTCCAAAGCCACCGGTCGTCAGACCGGTGGCTTTTTTTTATAATCAGAGCGTTCCTCACACCTGACACCCCCGAAGACCAGGAAAGTACATGAACCTTACGACGGGAACGCTTCGCGAGTTGCACCGGATTCACCGTCAGCTCAGCGATTTGAACGACCGACTACAACGCGGCCCTCGAATGATCCGGGCTCGCCAAAACAGCGTGACCAAGCTTGAGCAGGAGCTGGAGAAGGCCCAAGCAGACGTCAAAGCGGGCAAGCTTCAAGCCGATCAAAAACAACTGCAACTGAAATCGACCGAAGACAAAATCATCGACCTGGAAACCAAGCTCAACGGCGCTGCCAGTAACCGCGAGTATCAAGCCCTGCAGGACCAAATCGCCGCCGACCGCATGGCCGGAAGTGTTCTCCAAGACGAGATCCTTGAAAGCTTGGAGCATATCGACGAGCTGGAAAAGGTCGTCGTGCAGGCCAAGGCTAACATCGAAAAGGGAAAGCAAGAGTTGGCCAAGACCGAAGCCGCGGTGAAAGAAGAAGAGGGCCTCCTCAAGGCCGACGTCACCCGGCTCGAGGGCGACTTGAAGACCGCTGAAGAGGGCTTGCCGCCTGACTTGAACGATGCCTACAGCCGGATCGTCAAATCCAAGGGGGCCGACGCCTTAGCCCCGGTTGAGGGCACGTGCTGCGGAGGTTGCTACCAAACGCTAACTCCCAACAATCTCAACCTGTTGCAGCTTTCACGTCCCGTGTTCTGCAAGAGTTGCGGTAGGTTGCTTTACTATCCCGAGGAGCCTTCGCGCCCCAGCGAATAACTACTTCGGGCACACGAGACTCTCCGCCGGGCTTTCAAACTCCAGGTGAGCCACTTGGCCATCTGGCGGCGGTCGCTATTTACACTTCCGCCTGCCAAGTTCACAATAAGCTAACAATCACGAGAACGGTCCCAGCCAGTCGTAGGGGCCGTTTGTTTTTTTATCCACTTTCGAGGTGCTGC